TTTTTAAAGAATACAAATAGTAACAGAATAAATACAAGATTTCACTAAACAAAGTAATAGGAATTCAGTAATGGTTGCTGCATTATTCATAGTTTTAAAGTCTACTGATATGACTGACTTGACTTGATTACAGGTGATCTGTATCTGCTATTAAAAGCTTTAAGACTTAAACTTCTGCAAACTACTGGATATTGCTATCTTCTATATTAATCCTGTCACAGTATGTCATTCAATAAGTAACTTTTCATCTGAAAAAAGTGACTTAGCGTAAGTAACTTTTTTTTTTGGTGGAAGTGACTTTTGACTTTGTTGGGGGACACAGCTCAACAGCACAGCACCTGCCTGGCCAGTGTGAGGTCCTGAGTTCGATTCTTGGTACCCAAAACAAAAAAATAGCTTTCAAATAGATTATTGATGCCTAGGACAACTGAATATTTACCTCTGCTTCATTTTTTATTGTATTTACTTGGTTGATAAGTTTACAATAGGCCTGGAACAGAAGTAGTAATTGAAAATGCAATTTGTATAACCGTCGGCAGAGCTCCAGTTCCTAGAAATAAATAATATTATATTAAATTTAGGTGTTATTTTCCATATTTAACTAGACAGCATATTTCCAATACAAAGTTATGAATAATTATGTTAAAATTGTCTTGGCAATTTATTTTTCTGAGTAAGCAAGTTAATATGGTGTGAAGCTAATGAAAGACAGATGAAAGATGCTTTGAGGACTGCAGTAAACAAAAACAGGACCTCTTGTTTGTATAATTCATTTTTAGTATAAAGCAATTTTAACACTGGATAGAGAGAATATATCTGGAGCAATATATAGGTACTTAGAAAAGGGCTCTAGAATTTAAATCTTTAAATTCATAATGGAAAGAAATTATAAATGCATACTTGTGTCCACACTGAAAACAGATCTCTCTGCATTTATCAACAAGTGCTTTGTAAAGCAAACTAAATGTGGGCAAACTCTTATTTAAAAAAGAGAAATCTAGAGACTGAGATTAACTTGTACATTTTGACTTTTTCTTTTTGTACCAGGAATCAAACTCAGGACCTTGCGCTTGCCAGGCAGGCGCTGTGCTGCTGAGCTAAATCCCCAGTCCTACATTTTGATTTTTAAGATTAAAAAATTTAAAAGATGTTAGTTACAGATGTAGAAAAAGGCAAGTGCTAGTTTTACATACATATTATAAAGTCTCTTTCATAGAACCAGCATTTCATGTATTAGGGCTACACAAAATTAAAGCGCACACTACTTTGAAAGTAGGTCCATGACAAAACATTGTGAGGTCACAAGGGGACAAATGGGAGATGAAAACCAGTTTGCCTGGCAAGGATAAGTAGTCTATAAATCAAGACAGGTCACTTACTGCTAGAATTTCCATTTGCTAAGCAAGGTGATCGGGTACCAAGAGCACAACAACAAAAAAGACCAAGAATTAGTGTAAGAATCATTTCATGTAGGGTCACAGATGTCCCTGGCACAATGAAGAACATATATTCACACCCCAAAGAAAATTTTATGCTATTTCCAATACAACTTTATAGACATTTATTGTAATAATTTAGGGTGTTTTTAAGTTTTTCAACTCCTTGCCAAATAATTAAAGTACATTTAGACTATAGTTTGTTTTGAGTAAAAGCTACAAAGGATAAAAATCAAACTCATGGGGTCCTGAGAAATCTGGCTAAGTTTTCATAACCTGTCCAAACAATAAAGACTCAAAACTCAACTGCAATAAAAGCATTTCCATTAGCAAAGTAGAAAACAAGAAAGTAAATCCCCGCTATTTTTCAGGAACAGATGGTTTATCACCTTAGCAAACACTTACCTCGAAGGAGATAATTGCTGGTGAGGTCACTGGAGGCTTCCTAACCCAGCCTCTCATTAGGCCCCAAAAGCAGATGTGTATTTTATCCTGCCCTCCAGAGATAAACTTCAGAAATGTGTTCTAACTAGATTTCAGTCAAAGGAGACAATGTATGTAAAACACTGAAAATGCTTAATTTATGGGCTATGTTAATGTGTAGGCAGTATCTTGAACCTGGTCTCATTTAGTGTCTTCTAGTTTAAACAGCAATTGTGATAATGTAAATGTAGCTTCTAAAAGTCATTCTTAAGCCTGCTTTTGCAGTTTCCTCTGAAGGACTATTTATACAAATTTATTCCTATCAATTTAGAAAGGATTTGCTAAGCAAAGGTGAACTTTTGCTTGCCATAAATTCTGTGGACAGTCATTCAGTAAACATTAGCTGAACACATTCCAACATTAACTACAGTTTTTTTTGTTTGTTTGTTTTGGGTTTTTTTGTTTGTTTGTTTTTCTGGGAGGGGAGCAGGTTCTTACTATCCAATTCAGGCTGGCCTTGAACTCACTTTGTAGCCCAGGCTAGTCTCGAACTCACAACGATCCTCCTGCCTCAGCCTCCAGTGCTGGGACTATAGGCATGTGCCAAAATGCCCGGCTAAGAGTTATGACTTCTGAGGGTCTTTTTTATATAGTTTATTTCATGTGGAAATTAATTTTCCAGCAGTTGATTGGTAGGATTCTCACCCTGACTAACTATATATGCTGATAGCTGTGAACTAAGCAATTGCACTGAAGATGGCAATGTGTAATAGTAGGGTCATGCTTGGAATGCCTGTCATTCTGGTCTTCTGAATATGTGCTGCTTGCTTGCATGACACACTGATTGCTGCTGTGCTGTCTCTCGGGTAGATGATTGTTTAAAAAGGGGGTGGTGAATGAAGCCAGAAGACAGGAAAAGGGGTGTTGCAGGACTGTCCTGCTACAATGCTGTATGTAGTTAATTTCTAAACTTGTGTGTAAAAATATGTAATTGTTTATTCCTGTTTTTTAAACTTTTTTTTTGTCATATCCTGTAGGGACTTAAAGTTTAATATATCAATACTTGATGAAAAATACCTGTTCCATGTTATGCCTATCATGTTTGATATTCAGACAGATAGTGAGATTAAGCTCAACAGCCTAGGTTGTAGGGTAATAACAATAAGCTCTTCTGGAGGGTTAAAAACCTAAATTTGCAGACCAAAAATTAGAGAAAAAGGAGGGCCACAAGGACAGCCAACATTTTGGCCCCAGCCTTCCAAGGTCAGTGAAGACTCAGGACATAGGAGAACCTGTACTGTAATATCATATAACTCAGTTGTGTCCCAAATTTTCTGATCAAGGAGATTATGGCGCCAGAGGAAAGTGATCGATGATGTAGAGTGTGCCTAAGGAGAGTCACATGGTGCGAAAACATTCTCTCAGGCTTTCACAGAGAGCAAATTGCTCAAGCAATAGCCGTGACTCATCCACATGGCTGACACTGACAAAGGATCTACAAACTGCAGTACAGGGTTTCAGGATAAATCCTGAGGGGATTTGACTGACTTCATTAGATACAAAAGCTACATTTTTTGTTATATAGGTCTTGCTTCATCTTGGTCTTAACCATCCAGCAGAAAAGTATAAAAACGAAGTCTAAAAAGTAAAGCCCTATCAATATGCTGAGCTGTAAAAGGCTCAAGTCAACAACTTCTGACATCATCAGTCTTATGGAAAATCCACTACTGTTATGGACTACTGGACTATTTTGGAATATTTTGCTGAATTCACACACCTATAATATTTAAATGACAAAATTAAACAAAAAAGGGGATACAAATGAATGACCATTTTTTGTATTTGTATATTCAAAATAGGATAGATATACAGCTACATTCTCTTAATTCAATGAATAGAAATATTTGTTCTAATAGTGTTTGTGAATAGGATCTTGTATAATGAATAACCACTAAGACAACAATATGCAATGTATTAATTATTGAAACTGTCCTACTAATCAGATTTAGAACTGTCTCACTGCTATTTCTCAAATAGGGAAAAAAGGAAATTAATTTTCACATGAAATTTTCTATTAGCATAATAAAATAGAACTGACTACACATAGTCTATGTATAGAGTCTACATGGCCTCTACTTCCACAAGTAACAGAAAGAAAATCACAGAAGCTCATGACCATCATGATTATAGGAAACAGCACCATGTAATTGTGCAGGTCTTAATTACGAAAGAGTCTAAATCTACTAAAAGTACAATTAAGGATGAGGATATATATATGCACACACATTCTAAATTGTTATCTAGAGCTGGGGATATAGCTTAGCAGCACAACACCTGCCTGTAAAAAACTAAAAAATAAACTGTTAGCTACATTGAAATTTGCATGTATATTCTTATATACTTCTTGGTTGCTAATTATGAAGTAAATTGTACTGATACAGAAACAACAGGAAAGGTGAGAAAGCTATAAATTATGATTTTCACTCATAGAAACATCTCAAGCTATATCAACTAACTTACTCTTGGAGATCACCTCATTTTCTTCAAGTAGAAGAGACATAAAGCATTTGGCATATCTATTATAGACATCTAAGTTACAAATGTAGCCAGTTAGCAATAGGGCAGAAGAGAAGAACACATCACAACCAAGGGTGGAGGTGCAGCCCTTGGAGGCAGACCTCACACAAAAGATAGACTACACCTGCAGGCTTGCCCTAGGGGTTAACAGTAATGCTTGATATTCCTTTTTTTTTATATAGTTCGATTTCATTTTATTTATCCAAGTCACTTTGATCACCTTGTCACTGTCATTAAAAAACAAAAAGAAACAAAACCCAACAGTTACAGCTCACCTGATGGCTTTGCTCAATAAACATCCCTGAGAAGCTGGCCAGTGGGAAACCCACTTTCCGGTCGCATTTTTTCTCTCTTAGACAGAATCTATTTTTCTGTTAGATTTTTCCTCTTAATCTTTGTTGTTCCTAGAATTCAGTTCTCTCACGAGAGAACATGAACTGAGCCTTTTGGACATATAGTGGATTGGAAGTTACAATATTTCCCTTTATACTATTTGGAAGATCCTATACCAGCAGTGCTTGACAGAGCTATTAAAATACCCGTTTTTCTCATCATTTTAGGATTTTCAAAACTCTCCATGTTTAACAGTAGAGTAGCTTTTATAGAGATTAGAAATCTAGCTGGGCACGTAACTCAGTGATACAGTGCTAGTGTTATGGTTTGTGTCTAGGTGCTCCCTCCAAGCCTCATGTAGTCTTGGGGGGCTTCTGGAGTTTGCGATGGATTACTGTGGGTGTGGCTGCTGCACTTGCCCTGGGGCAGGGAATCTGCATTACAATGTAAAGTGGGAAGAGAAGCTAGCTGCTGGAGCTGCTGCTATTCCTCCTTTTGTGCTCTTGCTTTTTGCCCCTGCTGCCATGAAAGATTGCCCTCTGCCATGTGCTGCTCTGCCTTGGAGCCAGCCAAGTATAGACTGAAACCTCCTGTCACTGTGAGCTAAATAAACCTTTCCTTCCTTCATTTTGAGTGTCAGGTATTTGTCCCAGCAACAAGAGAAGAGTAACTAAGACAGCTAGCCAGCCTTAGCTTGTGTCAGGTCTTGGTTTCAATTCCCAGCACTGTAAAAAAGGGAATCTACTATAATGTCAGACAGGAATTCTGATGTCAGCTGTGCAGACCTGCTTAGTTGGTAAAAGAAAGCATTTTCCCCATATGAAATTATGCTGTTAACAATATCCCCCTTACTACAACAGATGTGTTCCTATGTGCACATTTCTCTAAGAAAATATATTGCTATTTTCATTGTATTAGAAATGTTGTAATTTATCCAATCAGAATTTCACCATTAGAAAGTTTCATATGGATATATATATCAAATTACTCTCAGGTTTGCTTTCCTGAAATTCATCCTCAAAACACTAATGCAGAACAATTTTTTTTTTCCCTAAGTGCAAACCCAACTTGAAATCCAACTTGGGCTCTCCAGATATCCATCATGCTTATCTGTTGAATGTTATTAAAGTTCAGTCACTAGCTGGTGGTTCACTTTTATTAAAGTGAAATTTTCATTACTAAAGCCAATATTCCATTCAACCTAACTTTTACAGTGATGGTTCTGATAACCAAAATGAAAATGTTTACAAATACTGCTCCTGAAATATCAAGGCCAGTTCCATGCACACTGTTTTATTTAACAGCAAAAACAAGAAGAGACTTACTTGTGCATCTGTGTTTATCCTATATATGTCTTCTTTGCCACCAAAAGTCCTCTTACAATTGTCTAACCACTAAAAAAAAATAAGTGACATGAAATGTCAATACAGTAATTGCATGATACACAGTGGAAACTAATGCCAGTCTATATAAAACAACAAAATTCAAAGGTAACTTGGAGTGCCAGGATTAGCTGTAGACAGAGAATTTCAACCCCATTTGAGGATACTCATTTGCAGCACAACAGGATGCACACGTGTTTTAATGAAAATACAATAAAGGGTCTCCCATTCTAGAGGCCTGTGGTGCCCTATTTCTGTCAAGAACACTCCGTCTTTTGCACATTTTATTGGAAATCTTCACAACTTACACTTGACCTTTGTGTGATAGCATACGGGGAAATGAAAGATTTGCTTTCCCTCTGGTCAATTTAATAAAGGCAATTTAAAGAGAATTAAGTAGGTCTGTTTGCTTCTCAGAAGTGTAATTCTCAAAAGACTGGTGTCAGTTTTAATTAGTGAAACAGGAACTCTGATCTATTTAAGCCTTTTTATATCCTTTCACTCCTTTCTTTTTGGATAGTAATGAATGACAAACATGTTATCTTCAAGAATACTGGATGGCTGGAGAGATAGCTTAGCAGCAGAAGTGCCTGCCTGGCAAGCGCAAGGTCCTGAGTTTAACCTATCAAAAATAAAATTAAAATACTGGATACAGAAGCTAACCGTTTTTTTTTTTTTTTTTTTCCTTTTTTTTTTTTTTTTTTTTTTTTTTTTTTCTGTATCCAGGAGCTATTCCTAAAGTTAATATTACAGTATAGTTTCTCCAGTCAAGTAAAAACAAACATGTCACTGGAGTAGAATAGCAAAGATCACTGGAGTCATAAAATTCCTAAACTGAAATAACGGCTAAGACAATCTTCAAGGTAAGCTCTGAGAGTTTGATAGTTTTGAAATTGTCAGTTCTTCTGATTTCATAATTTTTTTGTTTTTCTCCCTTTGGTAATAAGACTGAAATTAAAATCATTAGGACTTTGGAGAAAATTAATGGCTATATTAAGTAGCTATTCTGAAAACATTTTAGTATTAGACATTTAAAATTCTCAATTGTACCTTAATGTTTCACATGTAAAGAATTAAAAGTAGACATCTCAGTTCTTTCAAAAACAATCTTTGACCTATGTCACAGATATCTCAGTCACTCAGACTGCATTGTCCCTTAAGCTATTTGCTTGACAGCATCTCTGAAGAAAAACATGTTATGCTTTTCTGGTGCATATGCCATGTGGCAGTCACTGTCAAAAGCTATCAGCAGATTTCTTCCTACCAGCAAAATTCACTTGACACCTACTATAGAATTTGTACTTTAATTTTTATTCATACAAAATATTAAAATGTTTATATACTTAGCACTTTGCTGGGACAATTTGAACGAATATACTAATAAAAATCTTTGTTGATCTTATAATAACACTTTTATTAAATTTAGTTTTTCATAATGCCTACCTGTGGATACAGTATTTTGGGAGAGAATGACTCCCAACCTGACAGCCCCATGGCCGCACACTGACCTGTGCAGTGCAGTTGTATAGCTTTCCCGCACGCGTAAGACATGAAGAGCTGGTACAGAAAACACCTTCTTGTACTCATGTTTTCTTTACTCAAAGCTCAAATTAAGGTTAAAACTTAACTGTGGAAGAGGTTCCCTTTTAGGATACGACAGCAGCTTGTACATGATCAATCCTCCACGGACGATAGAAGCTACGTATTATCAGCCAGGACTTGGGACTTAGGAAAGCACGGAAGGAGGTATGTGCCTGTTCCAGCCACTGCAGAGGCTGAATGCAGTGGGAGCCCTGAGTTTGCACCCTACAAAGACAGTGACATGTGGAGTGGCAGGATGCAGGAGAAAAGGAAAGCTCGTGACCGGCAGCCTGTGTGCAGTTTCCTCTCAGGCACTTGCTGCTGTGTTGCTCATGTGCAGAGAGAGGCCAGGGGGTCAGGCAGCAGCACGTGGCTGGCTAAAGGCGCAGAGATACTTCTGGTCTCATGGTGCTTGGGAGACAAACATCTGCAGTCCTTGCCAAGATGGCGGAGAGCCTCTAGCTCTCACTTGGAGCCTCAGAAGACTTGAAGTCCAGTTAAAAACTGTTTAATGAAAAACTATTAGGGCCTGGGCTGGAAGTTGTCATGAATTTCATGAGTGTCCTGAGGTGTGATCACCATCCTGGGACTGCTGCCCCCAAGTGCCACCCAATCGGAAGGCAAGCTTGTTAAGACATAGTGTCCTCATCCACCAGAGTCACTAGGTATGGCACTACGTGACTTGTGGCTCTTCCTCAAAGTCAAAATGACCATGAAAGGTAAACTTTCGATTCAGGACATCAAGGCACCCATGACGGTGCAATTAAAGACACTAAAGCAGACTTTTTTTTTTTTTTTATTTTTTTTTTTTGTGTGTGTGTGTGTGTGTGTGTGTGTGTGTGGCCAGCTCAGCCCACCAGGGGGCGGGGCTGGCTGGCATGTGGTGCTGGGGGATTGAACCGCGGTCCCTATGTTCTGCTAAGCTTGTTCTAAATAGGTGCTTTAGACCACTGAGCCATCTCACCAGCCCCACTAAAGCAGACTTTTGCAACTGCTTCAGAAAGTGACAGCTGAGTACAGTGGCCCATGCCTGTAATCCCAGCACTCAGGAGTCCAAGGCAGGATTGTTTTGGGTTTAAGGTCAGTCTGGGCTATGTACCAAGAGCCTGCCTTTAAAAAAAAAAAGAGAGAGAGAGACAAAAAAGTGACAAGATGCCATGCTGCCACCGCCCCTGGATCATGCTGAATTATTGACTGAGACTGGGCGTGGTGGCACACACATGTAATTCTAGTGCTTGGGAGGCTGAAAACAGGAGGATCATGAGTCTGATCTGTGTAGTGAGACCCTATAGTCCCTGTACTAAAACATACATTAAAAAAAAAAAAAAAAAAGTGACAACAGTAAAAAATGTGTGTTCAAAGAAAGGGGGAATATTCTGGAGGGGAGATTAATTGGCAATGTCTTTTATGACAATTTTTAAAACTTTTAACATTTACCATATTCTTCAGTCATACAAGTATATATGCTATAGCTTGGCGAGGCAACTCAAGTCTAAATATTTGCTTCACATATGCCTTTTCACATAGCCTGACGGTGACTTTACATGAGTCTTCAAGAAAAATGGGTAGGAAACAGTTTACAAAAACTGAGCCACTAAAGACAAAGCCATCACTTAGCCACCGGTAAGGACAGCCTGACAGCAGCATTCCTTCCCACCCTTCTGATAATCATTCTTACACTTCGGGTTTTTTGTTTTGTTTTGAACAGGATCTCACCATGCAGTCCAAGCTAACCCTGAACTCTTGATGCTTCTGCTTCAGCCTCCCACAGGCCAGAATTAGGTGTGTGTCCTCACCCTTGGCTGGCTTTTTTTACTGTGACCCATCAGAGGTCAGGTGTGGAATTTTTCATTTGTGACATATTTTGGATTTCAGATTATTGGAAGTACAGATGCTTAACCTTCACTGTCATGGTGATTGTGCTTTATATTTCCTTTAACAATATAAAACAACTAGGTTTTACACATAATTTTGGTATGTCTTAACATGTGACAGCTCATAACTAACAAAAGACCCCTCTATTGCAGAAGAAAACCCCAACTGTATACAATTAGTTTGAAAGGGAAAAAGCATTTTGTTTTGTTTTGTGCACAGACTAGATGAGAATGTACCGGATTCACTCTCAGAGGACTAACAATATTTTTCCATGCCAGGTTAGAGTTGAAAAGCCTTTTCTTAGTAGGCAGTAATCAACGTGCTGCTTCCCCTTCACTTGCCTATGTACACCGACCCAACACAGGGATAAATTTCATCTTGTCAGAGGCTACCAATTTTCTTTTTTGTGTGTGTGTGGAACCAGGGATTGAACTCAGGCCCTTGCACTTGCCAGAGAAGCGCTTATTCCACTGAGCCATCTCCCTGGCCCCCCCGCCTTTTTTTTTGTTTGTTTTTTGCTGATTTTCTGAAGCACAATTCTGTATATATTCTCTGAGAGAGACCGCTGCTTTTTCCCCACTTTTAGTGTTGTAAGCAGCTGCGTAGTCCCCACACATCAGCTCCTCACAAAGCCATGTGTGCTCCTGGAGGGCAGGTTTCTCAACGGCAAAGTTGGGTTCCCTGGGCAAAGAAGAGCGCTCCCAGGACCCACCATTCTCAAACACCCCCAGGGCCAGGGCTCTTCTTGTCTGGGTGGACTCAACACTTCAGTGTCAAAAAGCGAACCCCCTTTTTCCACGTAGGAGGAGACTAACCTGCTCAGCAGCTTCTCTTTTGGCATTGTATGTGTCCAGGTGTTCTTGCAACTCCAAAACACTGAACTTGAGTGTTTCTAGCAAGCCACATGACATCAGCTGTCAAATCAAACACATCAATCCTGGTCACCATTCCTGATCCAGCCACGAGAACAACCACCTTTGGATGGTACAGCACCTTTGAGCTGGCTGTCAGACATTCCGCTATTACATTCTGTCCCTTTCTAAGGGTTGACTTTCCACAGAAAGATTGGAAGGTGTCAGGAAGGACAGAAATACCTTCAGATGCTTTCCAAAAGTGGCAAAGGCAAGAAATGGCATGTCAGACCAGTAGACACAGTGGAGACACCATCTTTGAAGCTTTTCAAACTTATCTCTTTAACGATATTGCTGTACAATCTCTGTGTGCTTAGCAAGTCAAGGGAAGACCCAGGCACCCTGGCTATCTCCAGCCAGGGACCTATTCTGACTCAAGAACCAGGAAAGAACACATCTCTAGAGCATGGCTCTTCTGGTTCCACATCTAGGACTCTCAAGTGGGTAGAGAAGGATTGGAATCAGAGATTCACAGGGCACTGCCTCTACTCTTCTGGAATAGTGCATTCTGTCAGTGATTTATAATCAAGGTGAAAATAAGAACCATGACACTTTAAAATTCTGAATTACTTAAAAAAAAGTGACTGAACAATGCCGTTCAAATTTTTGAAAGCCCTCATGTAAAAACTTACTGTTTCAGCATCCACAAACACTGTTGGGCACTCTGAGCACATCAGCATCACTTCCAATGAACTTTTAAATTTGGTACCGATGCGCTGCAGACTCTCACCAAGAAAACTGACTGCCTCAGTAGTTATTTCTCCAAATTTTCTTTGAATTGTCTAGGTGAAAAAGCATTAAGGAAAAGTTTAATATCTCAGAAGAAGGCCCCTTTTCACGTTTAAGTAAAGCAGCATAACTTTACAGCAGTTTTAGAACAAAAGTACTGTAGTGACAGATCCAGGTGTAATGGTGCAGGCCTGTAATTTCAACACCGAGGTAGGAGAATGCAAGCTCAATCCCTACCTGGGCAATGTAGCGAGACCCAGTATCAAGTAAGAAATAAAGGGGAGGAGGGACGTAGCTCAGTGTGAAGGCTCTGGGTTCAGTCTCCAGTACCAAAATGTTGAAAACACTTAATGAGATGCATTTAGCATAATGCTTACACCCAGTGAATACTCAAGAAATGATACTGTTTATTACTACTAGAGTTATAACAAATTAAAAAGCTGCTGTGCATCAAAGCAAACAGCAGAGTAATAGGACAACCTATAGAACGGAATTTTTTTTTTTGCCAGCTGTTCCTTAACCAGATGACTAATATCTAGAATATATATAGAACTCAAAAATTTATTTTCCCCTAAATAAGAGATCCCATCAAAAAATGGGCAACTGAAATGAACAGAGACTTCAGAGAAGTAGTAGTACACATAGCTAATAAATACAGGGGAAAAGGTCATGCCTGTAATCCCAGCACTGGGGAGGCTGAGATGGAAGGATCACTACAGGTAAGAGCTTTGTAGTGAGGTCCTATACCAAATACATAGATAAGAGATTAAAAACAACTAGAAATTCTATTTGACCCAATTATTTCCCTTCTAGGTACATGCCTTTTTTTTTTTTTTTGTATTTTAGGTAAAGGTTTACAGGGTGTTCAGGGTCTCACTACTAGATCAGACTCATAGCGATTCTTCTGTTTACAGTCTCCCAAGACCTGGGATTACAGGCACATGCCGCCTCGCCAAGTCTCAATCACTGTCTCAGCGGCCCCGGGGGTGGGGCCCTAGGTATATTCCCAAAGGAGTTAAAGAGACCACATTACAGTAATAGTCCACATTTATAGCGGCACAATTCCTAAGAGCTAAATTGTGGAAGTGGTTTATAAGTTTAACAGATGAATGGATAAAGAAAATGTGTTTTTTATACACCATGGAGTACTCCTCTACAGAAAGAAAGAAAAACCTGAATCATCCTAGGAAAATGGTTGCACCTTGAGACCATAATGCTAAGTAAAATCAGACACATAAGCCTGAATACTGCATGGATTCTCTTAGATGAAGATCCAGAAATAGAAAGAGCTAAATAAACGATAATAGAAAGAAAGAGAAAATGGGCGGAGGACTGAGAGCCGCGGGGAGGAGAGCAGAAGAGGACGAGAACATAACTCAGATGTGCTATGTACGTGTACCAACTCCTCACAATGAATATAATTATTATGTATTGCAAACATGTACTAATAAAAATTAAAATTTAAAAAATGAACACAGTGTAAGCTCAAAGGCAGGGGCTGTGTTTTCATCTCTTCAGTATCCACGATGTTGCCTGCTGGCATACTGCAGTAACTGGTCAGATGCTGTGCTGAAGTTTTCTTCTGATTGCTTTAGGGGCCTTAAAGGCACTAGGAATGATACAGCAGCACCACCACATGGTGCCCCACATTCAAGTAATACCACTAACTTAGAAAAACACAGTGTTAAAATCTGTGGGAATACTGAAGTTTGAGATACTGACTTAGAAGAAAAATATTTAACTTGATCAGATAATTATACAAGCTCAGTAAACCTTAAATTCCACTGACCTGAAACAGTCTAGAAAACACATGAAAAGTAAACACTGCACAGGACCCATCCGTGTCGGACAGCATCTGACCCACGTGGCAGCGCCAGGCTTCCTCCTCATCGTCATAGGCCACAGGCTGGAAGGCGGCGATGATGGCAGAGAGGAAGGGTGACGGCAGGGGCGAGGTCTGCACTTCTGGAAAACCATCCTGCTCTTCTTCATCTTGACTGTTAACACACACATCGCACTTGTCACCACTTCTTAAAGGAACAGACTCTTGCGCTTACAACATTTTGATCAAGTCATTCAACACTGTCTGTTTCTATTTATACACACATTGAGCTAGAAAAGACAACCACCTAAACTTTCTAAGTTGGCATGAATAGATGTTCTTTATACTTAGCATCTTTGGAGTAGAGCTCTTAATTTCATGCAAGTACTTTTATATAACCCAAGTTCTATGATGTCCCTCTGCTATGAATTAACATCAGTGAGTGTTAGGAGTTGTACAGATTAGAATGTTTGCCTTTTAAATTGTCAGTTTTAGGTACATTTTATTTGAATAGCCCCCATTAATAATGTTAATATTGAAAAATTTTCATCACTTACTGTTGTCTCAAGGGCCAGGTTAGCCGTGCTATATGCATTTTATTTACACAACAGTTCTGTGAAGATTAGGTTCTATTATTATCCTGATTTTGCATAAAGGTTCAGGAAAGTTAAATAGTATGCCTGGGTTACTGGTAGGAAATGACAGAGCCAGAATTCAAACTCAGAGTACAGGTTCCAATCTAATGCTATTAGCCAGCACGTACTGACAAGAGAGGTACTTCGTGAGCACACACTGGTGGCCTGCAGTATGGCAGATAGTAAATTTGCCTCAAAACATAACACTTGGCCATTTTTTCTGAGGAAGTAATAACTTCAACAGTTAGATAATACCTACAGATGGAACAACAACAACAAGCCAAGATGTGTTTGGACTGGGTATTTCTTGACTTCGGGTTGGAGAGGGAGAAGCATCGGACCCGTGTCAGAGTCTAAAAATCTCAAGGCTCACATTACAAGATAGTTCCATAAGCTCTTGTAGGAATTATAGAGCAATCTGTTTAAAGCATGGGACCTGAAGAAAGATTAGGGAAAAGTATCAAACTAAGGCAGTCAAAAATTATACTTCAAAAATGTTGATTTTAATAATGCTACTGAGATGATAGATTTAAAGAAACTGTAGCCTATGACCTCAAGTTGATACACCTCTTTATTAGGGATGTTCAATTCTATGTCAGCTGTAGTTTTTGTCTAAAAAACTATTTAGGTTCAGCGTTTTGAAAGAACATTTACCTTAATGTTATTTCTGCTGTCCCTGAATGTGCGCATGACTGAGTGAATCCATGGGCCATTGCTATATCCAGATCAATAGCATGAAAAAGATGTCCCTATAATTTATTGTTAATAACTTAGTTAAAAACTAAGCATAGTTTAAAAGCATTCTGATATATCAAGGGTGAAAATCTTCCATGTGTTTTATATGTTAAAACTCATTATCACATGAACTACAAAGGTATATTTATTGTAAAACTTTGAAATAATTATTTTTATACTAACAATATTTAATAATCATCAAGGGAGCTTCATAATGTGATGGGGACAAAGAATGCACTGACTGAATGCATTAAACTAGATTTAAGTATTTATTTGGTACCAGTAATTAAACTCAGGACCTTGAGCTTGCCAGGTAGGTGCTTGTGTCACTGAGCTGTTTTCCTAGTTAGATACCTTTAGAACATTATTTTGAACCATAAATATTTATAAAACTTAAACAGAAAAAATTAGGCTATGCCATATTTTAACCATCACCAACCAATGTGGTATGCTAGTTTCCTAATAGCCACCAAAATTTCTTTTAAGAAGTATATGTAACAGCTAATTAGTCAATTTAGCCCATGAGTGAAGACCAAGTCTTGTTTATGAATTCCTCCTACTTTTTTGGTAAATTATTATGTATTTCATACAAGATCTCACTACACAGCTTGGACTCGTAGTGATCCTCCTGTTTCAGCCTCCCCAGTGCTGGGATTACAGACGTGTGCCACTATGCCTGGTCTCGGTGGCCTGCTCACTTGCATGCTTGGGGCAGAGCTGGGATGGCATGTGGTATCAGGGATCAAACCTGTGTCCTTGAACTTGCCTAGGCAGGCGCTTAGACCACTGAGCTATCTTTGCAGCCCTCCTCATACTTTCTGATAATATATTTTCAATGTGTGGAGCATAAACATTTAAAAGGAACAATCTAGCTTAGATAGTTGGAGAGGTCAAACCTTTAAAATCTGATCATGGATAAAGGAACAATAAAACAAAGTTTTGAATATAACTTAGATAATTTGTTCTTATTTTTTGAGCAGGGTTTGCTATGCAGCTCAAGCTGGTCTTGAACTCACTATGTATCCCAGGCTGGCCTTGAGCTCAAAGCAGTCCTCCTGCCTCAGCCTCAGCAGTGCTGGGATGGTAGGCATGCACCACAACTGCCTTATCAGATTTATTTTGATATCACATGAGTTCATTCTACTACTGATTTTAAGATTAGCCATTAGGTATCCTGCCAAAATAGGTATTTGGTGTGCTGCTCAATGTGGAATGCCGCTTCCTATGGTTTGGGAATGGCTTATTTGTACTTCTTTATATGAACATCACAGAAAAATGCCTATCATGGTAAGTCCTTTTATTTTTAAATATGAAGCTAGAAAACAGGATTACTAACAAAAACAAAGAAAAGTGAAGAGGAGGCTGGGGGTATAGCTCTTGGCAAGCGCAAGGTCCTGAGTTCAATTCCCAGTACAAAAAAAAAAAAAAGTAAAGTAAGTGAACTGGCATTTTGAGGGAGGGTGGGGCAGCATAATCACCTCACTGGTGCCATGACTCTGCATTCTTACCTGGACAGTCCAGAGAAATCAGCTTCTTCTTCTTCACATCTTTCATCGAGCTCTTTCAAAGCTAAGGTAACATCCTCTTCACAGATGGACCCGGGGTAGCTCTCAGGAGCCAGATGCTCTGGCATTTCTGTTTCTTCCAGATCAAGAATTCCTTGACACATGAGAGAGTCCTGCCGCTCTTGAATAATGTATGGCCCTTCATCATCGGAGTTTGTAACATGCTCCTCCTTTAATACTGATCGTGTATCCTGCGGAACAATTACATTATTTTTGTGGACTCTTACAACATGAAAGGATTTTATCAGCATAATAAATGTCTACCATCATCTAAGTCTGTCTGTTCTATCTGATAGTCTTCATTTACGTGGCCTAATTGTTTATTGAACTCTCATTATATAAAATTGTTTTCTAAAATGGTCCTAAGTTTTCATTTTGTTTTTTGGAAGTGCTGAGGATTGAACTCAGGACTTTGCACATGCTAAGTAATCTCTTTAGCACTGAGTCACATCCCCAGCCCTAAAAATTTCTTGAAATTACAATATTTAACCTACTGCCACATCGAAACTTCAAGGAGTATTTCTCCTGCTTTCTCTCATGTATAAGACTCAGGTGTTTACTTGGAAATACATCTTTTTGACTTCCCATAATGGGAAATGTTTACCTATATATTTCAATTTTATGTAAGTAAAACTTTATATTATTACTACCAATTACCTTTATATGACCTACCATTTTTATTTTATTTTATTTTATTTTATTTTATTTTATTTTATTTTATTTATTTATTTTGGTACAGGGTCTTGCTCCACAGCTCAGACTTATAGTGATCCTCCTGTCAGTGTCTCCAGCACTGGGATTACGGACATGCACCACCACACCAGGTTTCAGGACCAGCATGATGTGTCTGGGGTTTTGGGGCTGGCATGGCATGTGGTACCGGGGATAAAACCCAGGTCCCTGTGCTTGCTAGGCAGGCGCTTAGACTGCTGATCCATCTGTCCAGCCCCCGAGCTGCCATTTCTATAATTAAGACAGTCGGCGAATTCTGGCCATCCGCAGGGGAGATGATAGGAGCAGGTGCTGCCAATCAGAAGGACACAGAGCCCAGACAGCCACGGCTGCCTTTGTGGTGTAGAAGCCTCGTGACCTAAGGGCTCTTTTCAGTTAATAAGCCTACAGTAAATCATTTCAGTTTAAAGTATTAGTAAAGATTCATCACTGAGCTCGAGTGTATGAAAGGTCTGGAAATGTTAAATTCTTGTCTTTTGAAAATAAGTAAAATGCAAGCTCATTTACCAAAAAGAATACTTCCACTCTCCTAACTCTAAAAAAGAAAATATATATTATAAAGTACCCCCTCCTGTCTCACTGTTAACATTTCTGTCCCACTGCTGCGGTGTGACAGGCATGGGGTAGAAGCTCAACAGGTACTGGTTAAATAAACTACCATTATATTTATATATAAAAACAACCTTCCAAAGCATATTATAATGGTGCCAATCCTAGGTTTCTAATCTGCACACAAATTAACTTCATCAGTTTGAATATAATACTACTGTTTCAGGGTCTTAGGACTAAACATCAGTTGTTTTCAGTACTTAAGACTTAAGTTACTTTAACTGTACACCATTTTTTATTTATTTTTCCTGAGCAAAAGTAGAATTTTCTTTCTAAAGCATGAAAATAAGGGCAAGTCCTAGGTCTTAGTTTATTCATCTGTATAATTCACCTATAAAATGAAGGGTTTCAAGCAGATTTTGGGTGAGGTCTCTGCTATAAATTAATTCTTGACCACGGCCAGCTCACTACCGAGTATGAGGTTACGCTAATATACAGATGACAACAGTACACACTAGCATACGGTAAGCATAGGGTAAACACAATCAGCAATATACAGCCCACCTCCTGATGCTCAAGAGAAAGCCCACATATGTCTGTGAGAATTGAGACCATAGTTTCTTTGGAAACCAACAGCATATGATGGCCTTGGACAACAACAAGGCTGTTATTCTAGGAGGAAGGACTAGAAAGGCCTAGGAACATGGGTGGGAAGCACACGGTGCATTAATGGGCTAGGGATCTGGATATAATTAAGCAGGATAGGGGGCATACTCAGTCTGTTTAGAATAGTATGTAAAGATACAGTAAAATCCAGGCAGGGTGTACACATCTATAATCCCAGTTACATGAGAGAGAGGCAGAAAAACTGCCACGTTGGAGGGTAGCAGCACTCTAAAGAAGAAAGGCATGGGCCATAGCCCAGTCCTTTCTGCATTCAATTCCCACTAACGCCCTTTTCTCAGTAATAGCAATAATATAGTAAAATAAGTTTTAATCACCCTAAAAGTTTACAGTGAATATATTTTATAGTGTTCATCTGAATTTTTTATTTAAATCATTTGAAAATATAATTTATGAGACAGTACTAGAAATATTTCTACAACTAGAATTTTTGGTTTCAATTTTCACTTCCATATTATTTTAAACATACTGTGTTATTGCAAACCAAACATGTGAGCTCAAAGCCCCCACTATTCACCACTTTACACTTATACTTGGTTACTGTTTGTCCTTAAATTGTAATTCAAAACACTGTCTTATCAGTAATCATTATTATACAATATACCCTGAAATTTTTTAGTAACATCTGGATTTCACGAAGAAAGTACCTTTGGACTAGTGGAATGGATTTATTTGTTCACACGTAGGTTATGAGAATTGAATTTCTTTGGACTTCACCTTCCTAGACAATGACATACTCCTGTGCTTTGTAACATTCAGACTCATTTCCTCAAAGAAAAATTTTTGTGGTCCATGAATTAGATTCCAAGCTATTAATTACAACCCTCTATGCAGGTTATACTAATAAATAAAAATGAAGAACTTGATCTTTTCCAGAAGGCAGGGTTATTTTTATGTATTAGAGGGAAGGAAAAGAAACAGCTCTAAAGATTTCTCCATGAGATGAAATGGATTGGCTTACTCTTTTACCTTCATGATATTAACGTAAGTGGATGAAAATTTCAAATAAACATCCTTGGGAATACACAGAAGTATTCCTTTAATTCATGTAATATTTTACTTATTAAAATTAATTGTATGTCTTTAAAAGTTGCTTTAAAAATAGTTGCTTTTATTTCAATATTTTATTGCTTTCCTATTTTTCTTTAACAAGCACAATTTTCAGTCACTTGACACTATTAAGTACATCAGGAAAACACAAACTAGGCTAATAGTGTATACATACACCAGATGCTATATTGTGCTACTCCCCTGTGACAGCCATTCTCACCATGCCTGTTTGTACTTGAAACGGTACAGTTTTAAAACTCTCCTCTCATTCTCATCTACCAGTAATACAATGTGTGTAGTGACAATGAACCCACTACTGTGAAAGTAAGAAAATACTAAACTGAAGTTAAGTTTCCATGAGAGGAAAGAAAATACACCAAGACACTTTATAGTGCATGGCAAATAGGTCCATTAACTATTTGGATTTGCAGTAACACATGCAATATAATAAATTTCTAATAAACATGAATTGTTTCTAGAAGGCAGCTTCCTATTTAAAAAGGTCTTTCTAGTATCAGCCTGTCTTCCTTTGTTTCAGATGAACAGGTGTGACCTCTTAATGTGCTATGATCCCAACTGGACGTGGCAGATCAGATTAACAATCAGCAGCACTGCTCGCCTACACCTCCCTCCCGGCAAGAAGAACGCCACCCAAATTGCTTCTCCCCACCTTGTCAGCTCTCTCTTGCAAAGGGCCTTTCAAGTTCCAGGGCTGCCTGCAGTCAGGCTCTGCTCCTCCCTAGCTCTCCTGCTCCAGTCAGCTCCTTGTCTTTTCCAGTCTACCACCACACTCTAGCATGGACACCCTTTCCCAGTGCCAGGGTGCACAGGACTGGTGCTATAACCTACTTTCCATGAAGAAAAGTCAAGATTTGGAAAACTCAACCAGATCATGTCCTCCTACTTCACCGCCCATGGTCACCTGCCATTCGGCCTGTGAGGCTTGCCATGGGCGCCGCAGCCTGCCCCCAGCTCCTTTCCCCCAGCCTCTCCTGTTCACCGTGCTCAGGCCCCACTCCCTAGGGTTTTGTTTTTCACAGGTGCTAGGGCTTTTCAACCTGCTGCTTGCTGTGTCAGAAACATTCTTTCTCCACATCTCCCTCATTCAACTATATATCGTTGTTAGATTTCCACAAATAATGTCGATCAAATGACCACTTTCTGTTATATTACTTATAGCTCATATTTTACCTGTTACCTGTCATTCTTATTAGGATTAAGCACCATAAAGCCAGGAGGAGCCTTTTTCTGCTTTGTACCTCTAGAAACGCAGCACCCAGACTAACGTCTAGTAACGAGGGTCTCTGAACATGCTGACGAAATAAATGAATGACCCCCAAGGCCTGGCAGTAAAGGCGTGCTCGGCAGCGGGGTGCTGCTGTGAGCTGGTGGCAGTGGGCCTGATGGAGTCTGTGTCGGTGTGAGGATACCCCTAAAGGGCACCACGGGAGCGCCCACCTCCTTCTCCATCTCTTGCTTCTGTCCCTTGAGGGGAGCAGGTTTGCTCTCCCACATGCTCCTGCTGTGATATGCTGCCACAGGCCCAAGTCATTATGGACTGAAACCTCGAAACTACCAGTTAAAAAGAAATCTTTCCTTATTTTAAGTAACAGAAAGTGAATACACAGGTATTTCTGGAAAGACCAAAAAGCTACATGATTTCTCATTATCTCAAGAGAAAGCCCAAGTCTTTAGAATGGCACTCAAGAATTTTTCCTATTGTTTCTCTTCTTTTTCCATTCATGTTAGTCTCTAACAACACTGAATTTCCAGACGTTACCTAACAATATCATTCTGTGCCACACTACCATGTGTCTCTGTGTACTGTCCCTCTGCTGGGACAGTCCTGGCAGCCACAAGGCGTGAGCTTTACCACCAGCCCTAGTGCAGAGCTGCCCACTCCTCCCTGGGTTTCCACAAAGCCTTGAACACATGTGTATTACTGAATTTCTCCTACATAAATGTAATTTTAAAAAAGCTTTCTTCACCCCTTTAAAACAGACAAAGTACTCCTCGACAGTAGGTTGTGCCCCACTCTTCTGCCACCTGGCTGGAATGCCTGGCATCTAGGGACATCACAGTACATACTGCCTGACTGAATTATCTAAGCTTTAGCCCTATGAACCTAAGCATTTTGAAAATGAGTAGGAAGGAAGCCCAAATGCCTTCATTTAAAAATACATCTTTACTGTTAGATTTAGTAGGTAGTAACATGAGAATTTTCTTTACTACAATAATATAACCTAATAGTGAGATTAGTCCAGATCTGATAACTACACTAATTTTATGAACACCAACAAAAATACAGCAGTTTCCAAAACTTACCAAAGCATAAAAGTACATATCATAGAGCTATAACAAATACACTTAACAAATAATATTAAAAAAAAAAAAGAACACTAAGAAAACTAATACTTACTTATTTCTGGTCAGTCAATAGCTTGAATCTGGCTTACTTCTCACAGGCCTTTCCACAACACATAATACTAGTGGTTCCAAAGTCTTTGGAAAGATTTCCTTGCACCAACTGCTAACCAGCTGGCCTGAGGTCCTACCCAATCACAGCACCAATCACATAAACCCCACTTAAAGCAAAAAGGGGAAGGAAAACAAAAGCGTCCTTCACAGAAAATGAGCGCCACAGACGATGCCTGCCGTCCCTAGCGAAGCACCTGCACGGCAACCGGGTCGCAGTCCGCAACACAAAATGCTCATTAAAATATTTGAGATTATTTTTAACCTGTAGGTCATTTCCTTAAGCCTATCAATTTTTTTTAAAATCAGATGTGCCTCTTTTGTTTAGAACAACCCAACAGGTTAGAAATACTGTAAACAAAATCAAATAATTAGCACATCAGATGAGAACTCTTTTGAAAGAAAAGCAAAAGATGTAACAGAGTGCTAAAGATCTAGATTGGCCATGCACCAGCCCTGTGTCTCCCCACCTCAGGCAGCTGGCTGCTAGTATTATCTAGACAAGCCTCCAAGCTTGGGGTCTCATCTCGGATGTGAAGCACCTCTTCTGTTGGGTTGCTGCCAGTGGAATCCTGAGACTGAAGCAGCAAGTCAGGCTGGTCTGGCATCGTCTCATAGGCAGCAGAGTCATTGTTCAGCTGAAAGGAGAGATGATCAAACATGGAATTCATTTAGGACCCAAAAGCCATGAAAAATCCTTCTACAACACTGGAGGGGCTCCCACAAAGAGCGTGTGTGGGATTTCCTAAAGTTATCTTTTATTTCATCCAGTCCATATCAGAGTGGGTGTTATCAATGCAAGCAGCTAACCTGGCAAAACTAAGTATACATTTATAGAGGTTTCTACCTATGCTAACTTCAGCCTGAAACTCCTATTTTTATGCTCATGTGTTGTGGTGCTGTTGGTCTGGGGCTCTGTAAAGGCCAACCTTACTGTGGCTGCAGTGCCAAGCAAAGTGATTTCACAAGTGTCTTAAAGAGGGGCAGAGCTGAAATAATGCCCAGAATTGGTGTAGCATATGTGGACCCAGGGCTCAAGTTTAATCCCTAGTACTGTCAGAAAAAAAAGTAGAGTGTTATAATGGCAAACATATTAAAGTATTTTTTAAAAAGTAGTAGTTACTAATTTAAAAAAAAAATTTATGCCTTTTCCTTCTCAGCAGGGCTATCATTTCCTCTGGATCAATATTCAACACAAGAAACACCAACTCTAGGATTTAGCATTATAGAGGCAAAAATTAATTTTTTCTGAGAAGTCCATTTGAAATTATCATTTCTTTACCTCAATACCAACACAACTCTGTACAGGGTTGGCCTTACAAGTAGGTAGTCAGCTCTGCCCTCACGATACCTCTCATGATAGCTGTCCTAAGTGAAGGACTTACAGTATTATATACCAGAGGTTTTCCGCCTCATAGAACTCCTGTGAGGCTGATATGAGGGTCTGTTGTAAAGCAGCGGTTGGGTAACTTGAATACCATTATACAGCGAGGAAAATAAGGATCCCTTCCCTAGTGTACATGATAGTAACCCAGGATAAGCCCTCTGTCCCGCACATGGCTATCCACGAGGGCCCCGACAGGAACTTGACCACTGTTTTAAGCGAAGAGTCCCTTGGAGGACCATACCTTCCTTACTAAGGCAGAGCAGAGACAGACCCCTTGGGTCAAATCCATTTACCAGCTGTGTGTCTGGGATGGCTCATTTAGTTTCCAGACCCGCAATAACCCTTGCATACTTGTGGGACTGGGGAGACTGTCAAGGTGGCTAGGACGTGTGAACACCTAGGGCAGATCGGCAACTCCATGATACAAGTGCTGATTGTGCCTGTTGGTGGCAGCAGCAGTTTCTCATTTAATATGTAAAGAGGGCGGTGTCTGAAAGACATTAGGGCACCAGTGAGATTTCCTAAGACTGGAAGCCAGCTATGAATCTGTAATCTGACATTTTGTCGAAAGCCAGCTCAGTGCAGCGTTGCTGGAGGCACTTGACCAGCAGAGTGTGGGCAAATGGGTCTACTTCAAACCAAGGTGCAGATCAGTCTGGCCTGCAAAAGGCCCTCCACCACCAGCTGTGCAAGCACTGCTCCCACGGGCTCCACGGCTGTCCCCTTATCACAGGCGCCCTAGAGGCCATGCATCAGGCTGCCATCCTAAGCTGACTGGCATCCATCTGAAGCTGCCATCCTACCACGACTGCAGATTTAGTCCTCCTTGCACCCTGACACTGCTAAATGGCAGATGATGCTGACAGCCTTTACCTCCTCATTTTATAAGCCTCTTGAAAGAGCTCTTCAAAGGGACCAAAGCCCACTCAGTCTCTGCACACTACACTAAAGAGGGAAGAAAAGTGGGTGAGCACTAAATAGCCATGGTGTGCACATCAGTGCCAAAAATATGCATCGCTCAAGATGTGGACCTGAAAGTGCCCAGAACGACTTGTTATGACCAGGAGAGAAGACAGAAAATGTGTCCCAGCTGCTACCGCTACACACACCAACTTTATGCATGTAGCTCTGTCATGAATAACAGAACGTGTCATTACTGATGTAACTGTGTTTTCACTCCTGTGTGTCTATTTTGCCCATACTTAAAAGACCAAGACACAAGCATTACTAAGTCTGAAGCTCGGGGTTAAGACTCCTGTCGCTGCAGGCAAAGACAACAGTGTACCATCTGTGTGCGCGACAGGATCTGGCTCGCAGTGAGGGCCGCTTCCTCTTCTGAGGACTCATCTGTGTCCTCCTGGTTTGTCAGGTTCAGACTGGGGGTGCTACTCGAGCACTGGTACTCCTGGAGGGAGGGGGTGTCCCCTTTGTCAATGCTGTCTAGCGAACGCCGGCGGACTCCCCAGTTGAAATTGTCCATACTTTCACCCTGGAAAAGCAAGACATGATTTCTAAGACTGCTCATAGGTGTAAATGCAAGATGCCAGGAAAATAGACCAAGATGAAAAATACTGGACATATCATCAAAAGCAGAGTTTCAATCAGCCCATCAATTTCTTTAATCTTTTAACATATTATTCAGTCTTTATATTAAAGAGACCAAAATTCTTGGTTAATAACCTGTTTTCACTAATTTTCTTGATGCTCTATCTTGTATTACCAGGGGACCAACTAAATCTACACTCTAGGCCATTTCTATACTAACACACAAACATGAATATGACTACAAAGAGAACAAGTACATCACAGATAACAACAAAGAAACATCCCACAACACCAGGCTGCAACTTACCTGCAGCTCCTGGTTAGCAAAAAGGAAAACACACAGAATTAGAAAGAACGAAGACAAACATTTAAAGATACGCTACACTTTTGGGGAAAACTGTGCTTTCTCAAACCCAAAGACTGATTCAAGCTCTGGATTAAGCTTTTTGTGGGAAGCCAACATGTGAGTCCAAGTTCTTTTTTTAATGGAAAATATATTGTGATAAAGTCAGAGACAGACACTTAAAACAACATTTCTATGATACATTTTAGCAACGCAAACTTTGAGGAAATCTTCAAATTTTACATAGATTTAATACTTGGTATTAATGTAAAAAGTGACTTAAAATACCCACATTCAATTGACAACATATAGGGTCACAATTATTTTCTTTTGTAGGATAGATCTGGTTAAATATAATGGCCATTTTTTACTATAAAATAATTTGCTATAATTTAAATCAAGATCACAGCTATCAAAACATAACCATTGCGAATTTCAAAAGTTCAAGAAGAAATACAATACATTTCAATTACACCCAAGTTATACATCTGTGTAAGTTATGTTTCTATTACTCTCCACTGTCTAAATTGAACCTCCTTTTTGTAAGAATATAACTCTTACAATCTTCCTTGGGCTCTGATATGGCAAATCATCCTTTATTGGCTACCAAGGTATGACTCATTTGTGTTGTTTTCCAAAGAAAAGGATTGTTCAGATAGAGGTTTTCAAATTTTTTTTTTTTAAATAAAGAAAGAGAAATTTTAGATGGAACGCAGTTGTGCAAAACACATTAAAATCTGAGCTGCTTAGGTTGAAGAAGGGGTCCAGGAATCCTGTCATTTGGCTCTGGGATCTAAGAGACATCTTGGAAGTCCTAGAGCTCTGAAGATCAGAGTTTATACATGACTACAACATATCATTTCAAATATAATTATATAGCATATCACAGAAAAATGACATAACCCTCAAAATATATTTGGTGAACAGAATATACTCTGTGGGCTTTCAAAGTTGGAGGATTTTTACAAGTTTCTTTAGTGATGAAGTTTGCTTTTAGCAATTTCCTATTATTATGTCTTAAGAAAGACTATGTCTAGGTTTTAGAAAATACATATAATTTGAGGGCTGGCAAGATAGCTCAGTGATCTAAAGCACCTGCTTAGGCTAGCTTAGGCAGGCGCAGGGGACCACGGTTTGATCCCTGGCATCACATGCCATTCCAGCCCTGCCCTTGGGGGGACTGAGCCGGCCAAAGAAAATACATGTAATTTGAGCTTAGCACAGTGGCTTATTCCTGTAACCTTAGCATTCTGAGAGGCTGAGACAGGAGAACTACAAGCTCAAACTCATTTTGAACAACCTAGTGAGGCCCTATCTCAAAATTTTGAAAAACATGTATGGAGATACAGCTCAGTGCAGAGATGCTGAGTACAATCCTCAGTACTGGAAATAATAATCTGATGTGTACAATTATGAGACAGAGGTTAAACCTTCAAATTACTGTGACTTGAGTTGAAGAGAGAGCTTCAATAAATATCTTCAGTCAATTCTCAATGTAAGTCTACTAAAATTAGTATTTTTTAACCACTGACATTTTAGAGTACTATAGTGCTCTTTAAAGAAAAAAAGGCAAACAAAAAAATAATAACCTTGCCATTACAAAAATGTCAAGAGATTCCCTGTAGAAATTTAAACTTTGAACTGAAAAAAATCCAAATAACTGCAGGAGAATTCAGAAAGCACTTATGGCCTTGGGGTAGAGGAGCAATAGCAGGTCTCCTGAACTTGAATCCATTCCACTTTTTTCCATGCTATGCAAATCTGCCCTATTCTCTACAATTTAGTTTTCAAATGATAAGTGCGAATTCACTTTTAGAGGTACTGAAAATCACTTTTAGAGTGAAGGAGAAAAAGGAAATGAAAAGGAAGAAAACAGAAGACATTAGTGGGATAGTATAGAGTAAGGATGGATCTTCTCCAAACTTCAGTTTTAAAGGTGTACCTATGTACACACTTTGACATGAAGTAAAATTCATAGTGTGGATTAGTATCACAGTCCTTGTTCTTGGGCTCCTGTGAACCTGTTCTGGATCTCTCCAGCTCTCCAGCTCAAGGAAAGGCATTTGTGTGCCTACCAAGCACCATGGCTATTCTCAGATCTGCAGGGGCGGCAGGGGCACACTGAGGAGGGGTATCTCACCTCCCAAACCAGTCTGCTATAACAGTATGACATGCCAGGGGGCAGCACAATCCACTTATTAGAGCCAAAAGAAACATCCCCTTAATCAGGTAGAATGGGACACTTCTGCCATCCCAGACATCTAGGAGGCCAAAGCAGAGGATATGAGGTTCAAGCTTAGCATGAGCAACATGACAGAATCCTATCTCTCAATATAAAAGAAAAGGGCTGGAAATGTAGCTCAGGGTAAAGGCCCTGGGTTCAATTCCCAGTACCATGAGATAGAGAGAGAGAGAGAGAGAGAGAGAGAGAGAGAGAGAGAGAGAGAGAGAGAGAGATTTCCTTAGAGTTGAGGGAGACATATTAGCTAAATTCATATATATATTTATAGGATATCAAAATATGGTATAGATACTCGATATTATAGCATTTATCTTCTTGCATATAGATATTTGCAACAAGTTCAGAATGTAGTTTATGACCTCATCTATAGGACTGGGCTCCTAACTGCCTAAGAAAATAGGACAATATTATTGTATCTGCCATAGTAACTGTTTTAGAAATTGGTATGTGTCTCATCTAGGACCAAGCAAATGTGGAAGCCTGCTAAGATCATTTAAGAAAGCAGCTTCTTTACTTCCTGAGACTACTTCTGAAAGCAGCCCTCATTTTCTCCAAATGCTTGGGGGAGGAGGACCTGCGAAGGTGTGGGGTTGCTCAACAATGACAATCACCTTGCCTCTGAGGCCAGGCTACCTGCATGGAAGGGCAGAGCCTAACAACTCTAAGTGCAGCTGGAGACCTTCATGAGCCATATAAAATACAAGCTCAACTTGGCCTTTCATGTTTCCGGGAAAGCTCTTTGGGTAGCCAGAAAAGGAGACACCAAGAGCCAGTTACGTCATAAAGAAGAATTTGGTCAGAGAGAATCTCAGTCACTTGCCAGAAGTCAGAGCTGCAGAACGCCAAATGTTACTCTTCTTACAACTGTTTTCTCAGCTTACTATAGCATAGCTCATAAAGACAGTTTAACTCTACATACAACTTTAAAAACATTTGGAACCTTAAAAATATTTTGAAGAAATCTCTATTTTTACTCTATTTTTAAGGATAAAGATGAAAAATTAGATGTTCTTATAATTATAATAATTATTCTTATTTTCTATTTTAAGTTTTGACTTTTGGAAGCCTATACTGAAATTAATAAGCAAAGACTAGGGCCGGTGAGATAGCTCAGTGGACTAAAGTGCCTGCTTAGGCAAGTGCAGGGACTGCGGCTCAATCTCGGGCGGCCTGGGCTAAGCCAGCCACAAAAAAAAAAAAAAAAAAAAGTAGACTCCACAGTCAGTTCTGATAACATTTGTAACTATACTATAAAAAGTATAGAAAGCCCATATTCTTACCTCTCCATCTTCCAATTCAACATCTAAAAAGTCAAAATCCTTAAAAACACCAAACTGTTGTTCACTTGTATTATCTTCTATGGCTACTTCTTCCTCTTGAATTATGTCTTCCGTTGCAGAAATTAGACTAGTCTGTTGGTCACCAACCTCCAAATCTTCATTAGAAGAAAATACAACCTGATACCATACAACCAAAAAACAAAAAGTCCATCCATCAGCTTCTGTCACTCTGCATGAGATTTCAGAACTTCAAAAGCCACTCAGGCCTCATGTTTCAATGAATTATTTTAACACTGGCCTCCACATCTCATCAGTTGAGTATCTAAGTAGCATAGCTGCATAGGTATCACAACAGACAAGAATTTTATTTTTTCTATTTTTTTGCATTCTTAGATACTACCATGACTGAGTTAGAAAAGGCAAGTAAATAAAAAGAATCAATTCTTATGAAAGAGCATGGTTTTTGCAACAACTTGTATGATGATTACTTACAGATGGATTCTTTGGGAGACCAGATTCTGGGCCACAGAGAGAAAGCACATTCATTAGCTTTTCTCTTGTTCTTCGCTAAAGAGAAGAAATTCAAATGTTACTATTGCTGATAAAATGAGACACACTCTTGTGTTTTCATACACATAACAAAATTTACTCTATAAATGTTCAGCTCTGCTGTTCTTGCCTACCTGGGATAGCTGCGGCCTTTTCCAGCTGACGGGAACCAAGGCATTCGAATTAGAACCAGAGGACGTGGAGGAGGTGCTCCTTGTGACTGCAATCACCTTTGGTTTCCCGTTCCTTCCAGCCGCACTGTGCTGATCTCCATACTTATTTCCAATGATTGGTGTCTACACAGAAGCAAAATACCAGTGTTGACACAAATATTTTAATATCAGTGAAATGTATGAGGGTTACATCTATAAAGATATTTACTATAATAAAAAATACAACATAAGGAGATCACTTAGTACAGAGCAGATGTTACGGAAGCCAAAGGTGTTTTCATTGACACTTGATTTTACTGTAATAATAACTTTTTTTTATCTGAAATTAGACTTTTTTCCTATCTTAAATACCTTTAAAAACTATCACCTCTGCCTGTCTCCTCCCTCAAGATTAAAAAATATACCTTCTTGTAGAAGGCTCAAAAACCATAGAAACAATTTTAAGAACATCACCTGTAATCCCACTACTCAGAGTGAACTTCTGTTAAATTTTGCTGCTCTTTCAATATATATCATTAAGCATGTTTCAACATTGTTACTTTAGCAAATATTAAAAACAACAACTTCAAACTGGACTTTTTTTTTTGGTATTTTGGTACGAAGTCTCACTACACAGATCAGACTTGTAGTGATCCTCCTGTTTTTAGCCTCCTCAGCGCTGGAATTACAGGCACGCACCACCATGCCCAGACTCTGTCACTGGCTCAGCATGCCCCAAGGGTGGGGCTGGTGCAGCATGCAGGACCGGAGATCCAACCCTGGTCCCTGCACTTGCCAAAGTAGGCGCTTCATCTACTGAGATATTTCACCAGCCCAAAATTGGAAAATTCTATGCATCAAAACTGATGTATATTTCCAAACTTTGTTTCACTAATTCTATGATGATTCAAAAATCATTAATGGTGAAAAGTGTTTTGAATTTGCATTTAAAAATAAAATTCAAGCTCTCTGGCATGTCGTCCAAATCCTATCTGCTTCTTGCTTATCTCCTTAGACACGAGCACCACCACTGCCTCCTGATCTCCTCTCGCTACTGCTTCCCCGACATACAAGGCCAATTCATGGACCTAAGTGGGGGCACATGTGGCCCCGTTTGCATGGAATGTCCACACATAAACCTTCTTCTGGCAAACATTTTTCTTTTTTTGGTACCAGGAATTGAACTCAGGGTCTTGTGCTTCCTGGCCAGGTCCCTCTGCAGCTGAGCTATCTCCCTGGCCCATGGAAAACATTACATATTCTCATAGTGTTTCAATTTATTTCCAGACAAAGCATTATCACAATGCTTATTCGTCTGTGTGTGAGACTAAAAGCTTCCTAACAGTAGGACTTCCTTCCAGGTTCCATCTGCTTTTCACAGCACCTATCACAACATTTAACAATGAGTATGCTTCATATAATAATGCTTGCAGAGTGAAAGAAAGACAAACAAACATAAACTCCTGACAGAGTACCTATATTAATTCCTGGACATCTTACCTCAGAGATGTCAAAATGAAAATCTAAGGTCTTTCCAGGCAACTCCTTAGAGACATTATTAAAAATTTTAGTGAAAGATATTTCAGGAGAACCTATATCTCCTCCATAGGACTTGGGGATGTCATTGGGCACAACGAGACTCGCAGAGCGGGACACCACCAGCTTTAATATGTTGAGAGCTTCCTTCCAGTAAGGACTCTGGTTTAAAGAATCAACATATACAAGTTACAAATGCCATGTTTAAGAGCAAAAATTTAGCATATAATATAGACTGTGAAAATGTTTCATAAAACATCTGTAAAATGATTTACTTCTCCTTTGAGATTCTTAACAGGTCTCAGATATAAAAGGGAAGGAAATGCAAGCTATTATGTATACTGTTTTATTTAACAGATTCCATATACCTAATTCATGCTACCAAATTGGAATATCTTGATTGTTTCTCAATAAGTGCTTTACAAATATCATTAAATTAGGAAGGTAAGAGTGATATTTATAAAGCACTTATTGGGAGATAAATCACTTTGAAGATGAATCAAGTTTATAGTTTTAAGACTAAAATTTAAATATATTAAGTCATACAAATAAAAACGTTTTATGTATACTTTCCATTTAAACATAAATACACTGAAACAACAAAATGTACTTTGGACTTTGCTTTTCTGGTTTTTTTTTTTTTGGTTTTGCTTTTGCTTTTGCTTCTGTTTTTTGTTTTAATCGAGAATCAAACTCAGGACCTTGCATTTGCCAGACAAGTCTATGCCGCTAGACTTGGTTTCTTGACGCCCCACATCCTGTGCTGAAGTGATACCTCAGAGACCACTGAGTTGTATGGGGGGAGGGGGGTTCCTGTCTTGTATTGTGGGTGTGAATATTTTCTTCCTCTTTTCAAGTTCTGTATATTCCCATCAACATAATTTAAGAATGATTTACCTGATCAGTGTACATGTGAAGAAACCATGCTTAACACAAAATTTACAGTGCTTTTCTTTTACCACTGACAAAGGAATACATAGAAAAAACTGCTTTTTAAGAAGTTTATGGTTCTCAGATAATCTTAACCATGTATTACAAATATTCTTTCACATGAACATTTGAGGGGGTGTTTGGGTTATCTATCTAGATGTCCCCATAAAGCCCCCTGTGCTCATCGGATGAGCTTTCAGAAGGTGATACAGCTCCTTGCTTTAGAGGGGGGAGGGGTGGGGGCCTGGTTAGAAGAGTCCTCCCTGGAAGGACCCACAAGGCTGTAGCTCCCCCAGGCTCTTCCCTTCTCTGCTTCCTGGCCACTGAGATGTGAGCAGCTCTCCTCCAGGGCAAGCCCCTCCACCTTGCTTCTGCCCCTGAGATGGCCAAGTATGGACTGAAATCTCTAAAACACGCAGGCCAGAATAAACTTCTCTTCCTTAATCTGTTGGTACTGGATACTGGCTACCAGCACTGAGAAAGTATCTAAAATGGGAAATACACTATCAAAAAAAAAAAAAAAAAAAAGGGAAACGAAAAATCTTTGCAGTACTGATTCATGCAACTCAGTTAATATTGCAATACAATGGAATATAGATCAGAAAATATTTAATAATAAAAATGTCCACATAATATTGTAATATTTTAAGCATGTCATTTAAAAGTTTAGTTTAATGAAGTTCTGAATAAAAAAATAAACTCTTAAAAAGGCTTTCTTCTGTTTCTAAAACTAGTGCTTGCTTGTTTGCTATGTAGATTCTGGTTAACAAACAAAAAGAAAAGTCCCAACCCATATTTCCAGAGGTGGTAACTACAACCATTAGCCTATGGATGAATGGCCCTTGCAGTGACCACTGAAATGAACACCCACAGACCTAACCGTTAGAATCTAAGGTAGGAATCACACCGGATCTACCATTTATATTCTGCTTCTTTATCACATAGAGAAAACATTTTGCATGTCATAAAAATTTCTGAAAAAGTGACTTTGCTTCTTACTTGGACATTTAGGTTTTTCTAAGTTTTTTAGGATAAGAAATTGTTTTGAGTTCAACAATACTACACCTAAATTCTATGGTCACTTACCTGTACATATTTGCCAATAATCTTTATGATCTCCAGATTAAACTGCTTGGCTGGGGCTGTGGACAGGTCAATATGACTCAATAAACTATAGATTATCTGCAGTAATGATTGCTGCATACTGGACAATCCTTTTTCTAACAGCTAAAAGTAATATTGAAAAGTAGATGAGTTTGTGGTTAGATCAGAAGCCCAGAAACAAAGTAAAAAGTTGGTTCAAGAAAGAAAACTGCACAATAATTTTTCATCTTTATTTCTTTCACAAATTTAGCAATAGCATTTATTTTAGGTTAAAAGAAAACCGCTGAACCACTACCACCAAAGAATAAAATTCCCAAAAAAACCCACACATACCAGCCAGTCATTAGGTATGTGATCTTGCATAAGTTTCTTAGCCTAAGTCTTAAATTTTTTTAGATATAAAGTATCAGTATTACCTACCTCATAGGGTTTATAGGGCAGATGAAATTAAAGATACGTCATCTTAAATATATGTGCCTTAGTACTGCTGCTGGATTATCATTGATAACACAAGGATAACTTAACAAGCCAAAGTCACTCCTTCTAGATCATGGAACAATGGCGCCTGTATGTGAGACGCACTGGGACCTCACAGTGGACCTCTGCAGGCTGGCACTGCCTGGGTGAGCTGTGTGGTGGCACGCATGCGAAGCTGGGTGAAGGCACTCAGACTGAAAGTCGATTAAGGCAGTGGGGCCTGGTTTTACACTGGTTCTCATCCTAAAGCTATCTGTGTACCATCGATCTAGGGACATGCAGCATTCAGTCAGGCTAAGAGGCAGCCAAGCAGACACCTCACATTGTCAGTTACTTAAGTATAAAGTTGACAGCAACAAACTAGCATTTAAAAAATTCAAACCAGTCCTGACACAGTTATGACAGTAGTGACTTAGCTAAGTTTAAAAAAGTATTATAAGCAATATTTAGTCAGCTATAAATAATTTATTTAAAGCTTGTTGTATGTCTAATTCCTTGAGCCCAACATTTAAAAGGCAGGAATTACTTTATTATAAGCTAACACACACATTTTCAGTGACAAGGAATTTCTCCCATTTGAGATCTCCTTCATGGTAATTTACTGAGTAGTTCAACTTTTAGTCATAAAAATAATCCAGAGGCATTAATAATGTTAACTCTCTATGTAGATCTAGGGCTTCTTTTTTATAGCTTGGATTTTTGCTCCTCCAAATAATATTTAAGAAGTAAGTAAGTTATCAAAATAAAAACATCCATCAATCTCTTTTCATATGTACTATTTTTCTACAAATTATCTCAAACTATTTTTTTAGAGCTAAAAATAGTAACAGTTGTTTAGGATCAAAACCACTAAAAACCCCATTTTATGTAAAATAAAGAGAGGTTTACATTAGAGTTTTATGTCATTTAAGAACAGCAAATAAGAGAAATAAACAGTGGAAATGGGAGGAAAAAAACCTATCACTTATATTTAATTTATTTTTTTCTGGTACCTGGGCTCAAACTTGGGACCTTGCGGTGCCAGGCTTATGCTGCTGAGCTACATCCCTGGCTCCTACCACTTCTATAAAACAAAAATTGTAAGAAATTTCTTTTATGTCCTATCTGTCTGCCTGCTTGCCTGTCTATCTATAAAAGATACAACGCAGTTAAAATGGAATATGTGAATTTACCTCCGCAAGGTAAGTCACAAGACTAAAGGTCGTGTCCGAGAAGGAGTCGTGCAGGTATCTGCACACCACGTTGATCCAGTTCGAACAGTCTCTGGAGTACGTGTGTGTGCTGTACAAGCTCATCATGTGAGCCAGGTTGACAAGTGTGGGGCACTTTTCTTCAGCACAAACCTAGAAAATAAATACAATTATTCACCTAAAATAAAAACACAAGTTTCAATCTGATTTTATGCTAAATGCACTTACTTAATCAAATTCTTTCAATACTCACTTCAAATTTTCAAAATATTTTATTTCAATACAGTGGAAAAGTTAAATAGAAGAGGAAAAAAAAAGTTATTCGTAAGGAAATAACACTAAATAAGATGGAAAGAGGATTAGTATTGTCACATATTCTGTGGGCACTAACCAATAGTGTTCTTTTCAGTCTGGTGCCCTGTGAGACTGTCTTTAAAGGGTGAAAAACAAGCTTTGGTGTAAATCTGCCACATCATTTGGTAAGCTGACTCCAGTACGTATGCAGCTTGCTGCACAAGGGCCTGAAGAGGCTGACTCCACAGGAGGGTTGCTAGGGATGCTCAGAGTGGCTGCATCACCAGGAAGAGCTTCAGTCTTGACCCGGCCCATCACTGGAGCAGCCAGCAGCAGACAGGCTCAGCTCTTGTGATGTAGGCAAAGGACTCATGGGAGTCCTGACAGCACAGATCCTCCATCTCCCCAGGATGACAGTCCGCAGGCTGGAGCTTACTCCCAGAAGTGCGCACTTCTCCGTGCTGGCTTCATATAGTACTAGGGATCTGGGCCAGCACATGCTTCGGGGGATCTTACTGACTGGACCTTTTAGTCTCTGTTCCTTGAATTACTAGTAAGGGTGTTCCTTAGCCTCTTCTGGGAAACCCTCGAACAATCCAGAACTGGAGCAGGGCCACGCTAAGCTTACCCCTCCATGAAATGCAAGCCTTGTAATTTCTGCTTTCAGCTTCCTTCTGCTTATTTTCCTCACTCTTCTGTATCACTGACAGTTTGTGAATGTTTGCATAACTGTACAGAAATCACTGCAGAACTCAGACTAATACTTTGTATTAGTACTATGTACACGTATTTGTACATGTAACTTTCAAATAAACACAACTTCAACTCTGATGATTCAGAAGACATTTATAAACTTCAAGGATGTAAATCAAGTTTATTACTTAGACATTATAATTGGATGGGCATGAGCTATAAAGGCATGCAAGACTATGGAGACTAGTATCACCGCACCACAGAAATTATCTTATAAAAACATGAAAAGCAGCTGACGTCATAGCAGGGCATGTAGTCATAGCCAGAGCTGTAGTCCCAGCACTCAAGAAGCTGAGGCAGGAAGACCACAAGCTGGAGGTCAGGCTGAGCTATATTATGGGACCCTATGTCAAAAAAACAGCCAAACAAACCAGCTGCTGACTTCACACATTAGTTCTTTATCAATAAAACAGAAAGGTTTTTTTTCCCCAAAAAAATGATATTAATGTATTCTTGAAAGAGAATTCTTTCAAATATATGCTATACAATTTTATAATAAAGCAGATGAACTGAGGATTGAATTTTAAAATTTTTGAATCACCAGGTTAAAATAGGATCCAAAGAAAATGTTTCATAATAATTTTTTTAGCATACCTTTTTGCCCTAAAGAGAAAAATATTTGCCTCATTTTGAAATTCTGTGCTCTCCATGGGAACAAACAACAGAACTGGTGACATTTGCATAATGAGGAAGTACATAATGGCAGAAAATTACTCTCAACAGTTCTAAGTGAGAGAATAATTAAGGAATAATTTCATTCACATCTTGCAGGTTGCTAAAAGCATACAGGGAGGGAACCTTTGTGTGTTGCTCAAGAGGAAAAAAGCAGACTTAAAAACGATTTATGAGTCACAGAGGCTCTGCTTGATTTCTCTCTCAGTGCTGGGGTCTGACGTGGGATCTTGTGAATTGCAAGGCCAGCCCTCTACCACTGACCCACATCCACCCCCCACTAGCCAGCTATTTGATTTCTCCTAACACCGATACCTGGGTATTTCCCATACTCTGATGTGGCATCCACTGCTTAACTGCCCAAGGGGCTGCGACACCCTTCAGGCCAGGCTGAGCTCCCCGGTTACCCCAGCAACATGCAGGTACTATTCAGCACATTCCAACTGATATTTTAAAAGGTTCTGCTTCCTCTATGTGGGTCTTTATGCTTTTTGTTTTCTTGACAGGCCAAACTAATCCAATATACATTTTTTTCTTTTCTATTTTCTAACCCATATGGGGGAGTTCTTGTTTAGAGCATTTATATAAAATATATCATTAGAATATTAAAATGAAAATATTTTCAATAAACTTCATGATTTGCATTTTTAAGTCTAAGCACAAATACTACATGTGCAGTTAGTTTTTTTATACAAATAACTTTCAAATAAACATAGATTTTCATTTAATAGTTAATGTTCTATTGGATTTATTTATTAAATATAATCAAGAGGAGATAATTTTTTGTTTATCTTTACCCACCATTTTTAAGAATGTAAGCTATTTTTCTATGAACTATAAATAATGGCTCTTTTTTTCAATTATGTGCCTTAAAATGATTAGGTAAGAATCTCTCCATATCTAATTTAGAAATCAGGGATTGACTCAACAGCATATCTTATTAAATATTTTGTCATTTATTAAATATTACCTGGCAAAACAATGAGAAGTTCCTCACTCTTATTACTACAATTTATAGGACGATGCCCACAGGTAACACCTGCTCACTTTATTTACTGTGCTACTTGTTAACCAACTCTCAACTTTTTTTTTTTTTTTTTTTTTTTTTTTTTTTGGCGGAACCAGGGATTGAACTCAGATCCTTGCATTTGCCAGTCAAGCGCTTATCCTACTGAGCCATCTCCCCGGCCCCCTCAACTTCTTTTAAACAAGTTGCTTTTATAAGATGCTCACTCAAAATTTTATTTATTTTCTTCTTTCTGAGGAAAATTTGCTTTTTCCTCCCAAGTGCTTTAGGAAGGTCCTCTTATTTACATTGCTGTTCACTTATCCTGCCCTCGTCCATCTATTTTTCTGCTGTTACTTGTAAGTTTACATAACTTCCCCTTGGAACTGTTTAGCTTCATTCTCAAACCTTTTCCCCAAAACAACTCAGTAAGTGACCAGATTTTTCAACCTTATTATTGTTTTTTTGTACTAGCAATTGAACTCAGGGTCCCATGTTTGCCACAGTTGCTGTGCTGCTGAGCTAAGAATCCGCAGCCCCACTAGCAGATTTTTAAAAATTAAGAATTGTATTTAAAAAGGCAAGATGAGTTAAGAAAAATTATTAAAAATGTAGAATGTTTAAATCATATTCTTCTAAAATTCAGATATTAACACTTTTAAACATGCTAAGAGATGATTTCAAAATAACCTTACTACTGTTTTCAGAACTGTACAATGGGAGGAAAAGAATCACAGAAAAAGGAATGAAGTGAGCAGAGAGACTATAAAGTAAAAGAATGTTAGAAGGAAGAAAAGGCAAACATAAAGGGGGAGAAAACTTTCTGAACCTCAAAATATATGACGTCTCCTCCCCAGAGCCTTGTACATGTAATTTATTCTGTCTAGAAAACTCCCTACTTTCATCCCACTCCTGAGTCCTTAGCCAAGGACCCTAACTGCGGTTGTCCCCATCGGGCCTTGGATGTCAGTTCAGAGGACATCCTCTAAGCTGTATGTACTGCCAGAACACTCCCCCCCACCCTCACCACACACACACACACACACACACACACACACACGTTATTTATCGGGCTCCACGGCGTCTGCCCACCGCCTAGACTGCACTTCCTACTCGGAGGTCCACGAGGGCCAGTATTCTACCTAACTGCTTATGGCTGTGTTCATAACCCAACGGAAGCAAACGAAGGAATGCATGAAAACTTGACAGAAAGATAAAGGAGCAAGGAGGGGAAAAGAACAGAAAGAGATCCAAGACTCAGAGGAGTGTTACTGTAATAAATTTTATTCGCTGTCATATGGGCAGTTGTACTTTACATTACTACATAAGTGCTACATGTGTATGAACAGAAACAACAGAAACAAAACTCACACTGGGAACCGATGGAAGAAGACTTTTCAAGAGATTTCTTCCCTAAGACCAACTGCAAGGCTGGAGATAGAACTCAAAGGGACAGCCCTGCCTGGCAAGTGTAAGGTCCTCGGTCCGATCCCCAGCACAAAACAATCACCTGCAGCCTAAAGTCCCTCCAGTTATCTTTCAGCAAACATTTGCTTACCTTTGCTATTCGGCTGGCTGTTTCTTTGCAAAACTGGGTTGGACTGTCAAAATGTTGGATTAAGTGAGGCAATAAGCAAAGGATGTTAAGAGGAAAACCTATCAAAACAAAAACAGCAAACAATAAACAATTTAATTGCACACTGTTTTCAAAGTTAAAAGGCATTTTTAAAAATGGTTTGCAGAAAACATCTTTTCATTTCCTGGGGTATTCCATCTTCTAAATCCTGATGCTGCTGTTAAAAATAATTTAAATTAACATATAAAGAACTGTCACTGAAGAAAAGCAGAAATTAGTAGATTTCAAAACAAATGATTATATTTCAACTCCATAAAGAGCAATTATATTAGTACTAGTCCAATTATATTAACATCACCTGACAGTTGGGAAGGATCCACCAATGTGTGTTTGGAGACAGAAATGAGTTTACTGAGGAGGTGGATGGTCATTTCTTGGGTAGATACTGAGGTAAAACCCTTGAGGAAGAGCTGCTGAAGGCCTGGAAAATTATTCCACTTCAATTTGCTTTGCACATTTTCAATCTTCTCTCGACTCTCTGATTTATCCAGTGGCAAATGGATAAGCAGTTTGTTGAGCAGCCTGAGAGCCAGGAGGTATTCATACTCATAATCAGATTCTAATAAAGACGCTGCGATCCAAAATATGGTGGCCATCAAGTTGGTGGGCTCAGTAGTGGACTGCACATCGTACATGGCCTTCTCTCGCAGAGAGGAAAGGCTTCTAGTCCTTGCTAAGCTACTGCTGTGGTTTATCCGTCCATCTGTTATATCCAGTGTGTTACTCCGCCGGCGGTCACCTCTGCGGTCACCCACTAAACTTAGTCTCAGAGAGTTGCTTCTTGTATTACTGTTGTATCCCACATAACTGCTACTACTAATGGGACTTGTGCTTAGATTGAGTTGTCCAGTGCTTTTCCTGTTAGCTGCATACTTGTTTCCCATTATAGGATCATGGTATGAGGTTCTTTAAAGGGGGAGAAAGAAAAAAAGGTGAATATATTGTCCAGCCACTTCTTTTGCTATATTAATTTTACTTATGAAAAGTGGAAAACAACTATTACCAGAAAAATCAGGCTTCAGTATACCTGGTGTTTTGATTAAATTTCAGCTTTGTCTCTACATTAGAAGGAAATGTACAATAATATCTTTCCTGCAGTGGCTATTTGCTTTAAGATGGCAACACAGGTCGGACTGGGCAAGAGATTGTGCTTCAATAATCACTGAGAACTTCCGGATCTGGTACATACACAGTATGTCCAAGGCAAGCCTCATTAGTCTTATCCTCCGAACTCATGGTCCTGACATCCCTATTTCTTTAATGGCATATTCTTTCCAAAAGAACCAAGCTCAAAAATTTATTTTGACTTCTCTTTTGTCCTTATATCCAACTATCATTGATTAAAAATATTTATTGAATGTTTTCTACATGTGCCACAATATGCAAATGCCGAGGAATATGAAAGTCTATTGGGGAAACAGATACATATGCAAATGGACAAACTTATACCCTATTAATTGCTATGACTAAAATACAAAGAAAACTATAATTGATCATATTGAATTAAAAATTAAAGTCAGCATTTTGAATGCCAAAAATAAAAAAATAAAACACTGTGACGACCCAATGTTTGTGATGACCCAATTAATAAAATGCAGTACCCTGAGGGGGTTGAACGTTCCTTGCTTGGAGGCGACACTGAAGATGAGAGATTAATGTATAGTTAGTAAGGTAGGGGAAGTGCAAGACATGGGTACTCCAAGAGAAAGAACAGCATGTGACAAGTGACATGTCCTGAAGGGTCAACAACCAGAAACACAGGGTAGCAGAATTGGGGTAACAGCGGGAAGAACACTGAAAAAATTAGCTCCGGGACTTTCCAGAGGCCCCTGTTGTCTGAGACCCATTTCCTACTAGCAACCTTTCTGATCTTAGGGATCATTTTCTCATTGCTAGTATCAGAATTACATACTGCTCTGGTGGTATGCACTTAGCTACAGGAGTTCTGTATTCAGTAGTTTTCCTGGTTCCAGTTCTTACTGAGAAAGGGCAGAAAGGAGATCATAATGCTTCATGGTTTCAGCCAAAGTATCAATTGCAGACTCCAAGGTGAGAAGGAGCTCAATCACAAATCCCTGCAGGAAAAGGGCAGATTTCAGTTAATTATACTCTGGAAAAAAGAAATTGCAATGTAGTTCCTGATGAGATTTAAAAATAACACAAATACCATATTAATATTACAAAATGATTACATTTCTGAGAACATGATCATGCTGATTGATGAAAACTCACCAAACTAATGGCATAAATTAATTGCAATGGCACAGCCATTTACCCAAATTTGCCCAGGCCAGAGGTCTGGAAGCCTTCTTTGTTTCTTTCATATCTAAATTGAAATCTAAAATACACCTTAAAAGCAATTTATCTTTCTCCAAAATTTTACTCAATCAAACCTCCCATCCTTTCAGCTGGCCCCTGATAGAAACCTTACTAACCCCCGCTGCTCTGCCTTTCCCCTCTCCAAAGACCAGATGCCCCAGAGAGGTTTTGCACAAGCAAATCACGTACAGTTTTCTTCTCTCAAAAACTGTGAGCAACCTCTCACCAATTTAGAGCAAAGCCAACCCTCTTCTCACCTGGGCCTACTTACTAAGCCTTACATGTAAGGGCCCACCTATCTTATCCACCTCTGCCCTCTCTGTGGTGTACACCAACCCCATTAATCATTAAGATGTTTCTCAAAGAAACTTATAGTCTCGGCTTCAAGGCTTTCCATTGCTTATGCTGGTTTCCTCTCCCTGAAATGTTCTTTCTCCAGATCATCACAGGACCTGGCTCATTTCATTATCTGTTCAAAAATTACTTCTCAGGTTATACATAAAACCACACCTTCTTCCCCACTGCTCCTTAAACCTTATATTCTACTCTACCTTATTATGTCAGTATTAATCACTAAATAAAACTGTGTTATTATTGGTACACAAACCTTGTCTCCTCTAGTAGAATACCAAAACTTTGTCTGGTTCACCACTATACCCTTAGTATCTAGAACAGTATTGATAAAATCAGCAGTCTGCACAACCCTCAATTTCCTTGTGGAATAGGTCCCTTGTATCTTTAAAGGTGAAATTTGATGCTTCATGTTACATTTAAATTCAGCTTCCCATCTTGGGAGTCATCCTGGGATAATATCCAGGTGTGTGTGTAAAGCTTCACCTCATAGACACTAAATTATGTGATCTGAATAAAGGTTATTAAATACTAATTACAAAACTTTGCACCTTAATTTTTTGCCTGCTCCTTAACTTGACATTAACAATTGTGCACGACTCCTGTCTTGTTCTAACTGCAGAGATCTGGACTTAGTCTGTGACCACCTGCTGCTGCTAAAACAACTGCTAAAAAATGGAATGAGATACCTGTGCGTCCTCGCCGGGATCTCCAACAGTTTCTACGAGTCTGGAAAGAACATCGGAAAGTGTGGCTGCAGAAAGTGGCTGCTTTAGGGCCCTGAAAATCTGAAAGGATCTCCCAGCATAGTGTCGAGAAGAACAAGAAAGTGCTGTTTGCAGAGCTACTTCACTAAGATGATGTTCCAAGTGAATTCCCTCTGTGAGGATGAAGGACACAAGTAGGAAGAGGTTGGTTTTACAGAATAGAGGGGCTGCAATCAAGGACTTTTTAAAAAAATTATTTGGTTGTTACAGGGTCTTACTACACAGCTCAGACCCATAGTGATCCTCCTGCTTTCAGCCTCCCCAGTGTTGGGATAACAGGCATGTGCCACTATGCCCAGACTCTGTGGCTGGCTCAGTCTGCCCTAGGGGTGGGGCTGGTACTGCATGTGGTGCCAGAATGGAACCCCAGTCCCTGTGCTTGCCTAAGCAGGCATGTTAGTCCACTAAGCTATCCTGTTGGCCCGCAATCGTGGACTAACCATTTACAACACTGCTCCTCATACTACACTGCCACCCAGAAAGGAACTTAAGTTGTGTTAAGTCAATGCACATTCTTCAACCAAACTCCATTCTCATGTCAAACAGTTCTGACCTCCAAGCAATTCTAGGGGCCACAGTTGCTTAGCCTTGGCAAAACTGGTATCATTGTCCCTGGCCCCTGCCCACCAGATAGTAGTAACAATTCCATGGCCTTCCTCTAAAATTGGTACAAAATTTTTTTCAGACATTATCAAATATTTCCTGAGATATTAGGAATATTTCCTGTCAAATATTCACAACCACTATTCTGTACACAAAATTGATAACCACTGCTCCATACCGATTTTTATAATGATTATCATTATAAAATGAATGTGTATGACATTACACTGTAGAGGCCTTACTCAAAAAATTATTTTTAAGTTGATCATTTCTAAATTTTATGCTATCACACACAAAACTAAAACCCCAAGTTGAAAGGGTAGAATTCTTATTTTTAAGTAGTCACTTAATTTTTGATCAACCAAAACAGATCTGTTTACACTAATAAACTAAAAAAGAAAAACTTTCTAACGTCTTCAACACTGCTGATCAATTTTTATCTAAGTATTAGTGAAATTTCAACATCACATTAAAATATCTCATTGAAACTGAGGATTAGCTAAATAATGATTTAAAAAGATACCTGGGCTTGACTGTTTAAAGACAGAAACCACATGTTTCAAAAATGTAGCTAACTGCTCTGCACTCTTTATGCTGGGATTCTTGGCAGAAACATCCTCGTGGTTCCAAAGGGGCCCTCTTTTTCTGCAAACAGAGAACAGACAGGATTCCTTGTTTTTAATTTGCATTAACAGTTTTATTCATGCTTGCCACACTGCAGCTTTACAATCAGGAAGGGGAGCAGGTGAATACGTCACACAATAAGTTACCATCAGTACTGTTCATGTGCACAGATGTAGAATGGTCCACACTGTGTAAATGAAGATTGAATGTCAATGTCACTGCTAAAGGCAAACTCTCTCAGAGGTAGTTAGAAAATGACAAAATTTTGAGAAATTTTGGTTACGATCTAATTGCTAGTTAAATTATATGAAAGTAATTTTATTAGCTAAAATGATAGCGAAAGCTTAGGGTAGAGCACTGTACTTCCTAATTCATGTTTTCATATCTCTGGGCCTCCCTCAGGTAGGCTGCCTCTTATGACTAGTCCAGAGTGCCTTGAAAACTTCTCAGGGCATGTTCCCCCCCTCTTCACGATGGTCACTTGGGAGTGGTGTTTATTCACGTTATTTACTAGTTTATGCTCCCTCGGCCCATTTACATCTGTGTGTGCCTCGGGGCGGTGCTGGGGCTGCACCCCGGCGTGTCGTGTGCAGGGCACGTGCTCCACCACGCTTTTCCCGCCTCCAGCTCTGTGGCTCCAGCTGCTAACCCAGGCCTGGGTTCATGGTGCGCTGCTTCACATTCTCTCAAACTTTATCTCACTGTCCAGTACTACTGCCTTTCCGTAGTGTGACGGTCCAGCCAGGGATACCACCACTTCCAAACACGCTTTCCCTCTCCTGGCCTGCAGCTTGGCTCTCGCAGTAGGACACCACACCTTTTCAACGGCATTTTCCTTCTCCCCCTGGAAGACCCCGCATAGCACAGGCCATGAATAGGTACTTGCCAGCTGACTGACAATTTTCAAAATACGGAACATTACAAATCCATGTATTTCAAACCAGTGACATTTCAGACAACAAAAATCCAGCCTAGAGAGCTGGTGGGTCAGAGCCTGGCACAGCACGAACACTGCAGGGAGCCAGGTACCTTGAGGTAATGAACTCCATGAGGGTTTTGACTTTTCCATCCTGCTCCACGGCGATGTCCACCTCACTGAGCAGGGTGGTGTGCAGGTGCGAGATGGCAGCGCTGTTGTTTCCTAAGCTGATACTAGAAGAGGTAGAACTTGAGCTAAGCCCTGAGTCGGTCATAGGGGAGGGCTGGTAATCAGGTATAAAATCATTAATGCCTGCTGGAAGAAAAAGCATGTTATGAGTATCCACTCAGAAAGGAGTCTCCAAAATAGAGTCTAGCTCCTTGTTGTACTGAGAGATTCGGGACCCAGCCTGGCACCAGGAGGCTGCAGTGAGTGTGCCTGGAGACAAGCACCTTTCCACAGCCTGGCTCTCATCAAACCCAGCTTGCTCCCTGAATTCATGGACATCCTCTGCTGCCACCTGCTGGACACTGCTGAGAATGGAATTTCCAAGACTTAGACACACATTTCTCAGTTAAAAGTCAGTCTCATTTCTATAATGTGAACTGAGTTTTAGTTTCTTATGAAAAGGACTCTACAATTTGTTTAATTTCACTTGAAAAAGCTATTTTAATGTCTTCATAATATTTAAATCAATACTGTTAGGGGCCAGGGAGATGGCTCAGTAGAGTAAGTGCTTCCCTGGCAAGCGCAAGGGTTCAAGTTCAATCCCCGGTTCTGCAAACAAACAAACAAACAAACAAAAAACCCCACAGGGGCCAGGGAGATAGCTCAGTAGAATAAGTGCTTGCCAGGCAGGCACCTAAGTTCAATCTCCAGTTCCACCAAAAACAAAAATAAATAATAATAATAATCAATACTGTTAAAAGTTATTTCTAGCACCCCTACTTGCAAAACAGCAAAAGGAAACTTAAAAACAAACTATAGAATAGTTTGTTTTAACATTAAAAAACAGGTGTTTTAACATAAAAAAGAACTCTGTCTTTTTCTTGTTTGGGTTTCTCGAAATAGAACCTCGCTTATAGCCCAGGCTAACCCCAAACTCACTGTGCAGCCCAGGCTCACCTCTAAATGTTGATCCTCTTGCCTCAGCCTCAGTGCTGAAGTTACTGGTATGTGCCACCATTTTTCTTTTAACCATAGTTTAAAAAAAGCTAGAAGTGGTTGGAGGCCCTAGATTCAATCACAAAAAGCCCCCCTACAAAAATTCACAATAATTGTATTTTTATAGCTAGATGATTTTAAATAAATAAACTAGTTTAAACTAAGTGACTTCTAAAATTTATTAACTCCATATCTAACACTTGACTAAAAAAGAAAGTAACTATTTCATTTTTTTCTTTTTTTTTGTATTTTTAGGGAAGGGTCTACAAGATGTTCAGGGTCTCACCACTACATCAGACTCCTAGTGATCTGCCTGCTTACAGCCTCCCAAGAGCTGGGATTACAGGTGCGCGCAACCATACCCAGTCTCAATTGCTGTCTCAGTGTGCTCCAGGGGCGGGGCCGGCATGCAGGCCCAGGGATTGAACCTCAGCCCCTGCACCTACTTGCAGATACTTTAATCAGCTGAGGTATTTGGCCCACCCACTATTTCATTTTCTAAAACTATTTTCTATAGCTGGTACTAATGAGTGCAATAAAGCTAGGGCTATCAGGAGAGAAGAGAACGTAACTTTCAAAGTAAAAAACCTGACAGTGAAATAAGTTTTATATTAAATTCTCATTAATTTAGACTTTACTACTTCAAAATGCATATAACATCTGTCTTGTCTTTCCTTTCCTTCATTCCCTTCTCCTTTTGATTGTTTTGAGACCAGGTTTCACTACACAGTCCAGGCTGGCCTTGAACTCACTATGTACAGTAATCCAGCTTGGCCTCACTCATGGCTGGCTGGCTGACTGCCTGCCTCCACGCCACCCCAACCTCTCTTTTTCACGTGGTCTTCAACTCACTGCATAGCCCAGGCTGACCTCTTTGTGCCTTCCTCCTGCCCCTAATGCATTCTTTAACTGATTGGTAAATAACGTAAGTGGCGTGAGGAATAGTTACACTTCAAATACCTGTGAAAGTGTAATCTAAGTGTGCAATTTGTTTGACTGTAAGCACCCTGGGCTCATTAAACTCTTTGTTCCTGAGAAGGACAGAAGCAATAGTTCGGATGTTACTGTTGGGTCCCATGACTATGAGTAAGTGCAGAAGCAGGCGTTTACAATGTTCATACACCTCAGGGTGGCAGTGGTCAAACCCTGGGACAGGAAAAAAAAATCAGTGTCAGTTAGGAACAGTAAGGACTATGCATGCTATCAGACATCATTAAAGAAATTCTAGTCATTCCTGGAGGGGTGGTCCCAGCGCCCGCTGCAGATACCAAATTCTGTGGTACTTGAGTCTCTTATGAAAAATGTCACAGTACAGTATTTACATACAACCTACCTACCTTCTCCTATATACTCCAGATCATTGCTAGATAACTTAACATCTAATACAATGTGACTGGTATGTCAGTAGTTTAAAGCTGCATTGTTAGGGAACAATGACCCAAACAAAAATAGAACAAAAGTCTGTACGTGCATAACACAGACATAAGGTTTATTTTTCCAGAATATTTTCTAATCATGGCTGGTTGAGTCCACAGATTGGGAACCCATGACTACCAAATGCCCATTAAGTAAAACTATTTCATGGAATATGATTACATATTTTTTAAAGTTGGTACAGTTATTCTACCCTTTTACAATACTATATTGTATTAGAAACAAGATGAATTTTAAATGTGTTTGATATATATATATATATATATTTAATGATCTTTTGTAAATTATTATTGTTATATAATATTAGGCATAAATGAATTTTTAAAAGAGCTAAGCACTTTTTTGCTGTTCTAGCACATAATAGGAAGTAGATGTGATTAGTCAAGGAATGAAATAATACATGGTAAGTGTTTATAGCAGGAAATCATACGAGAAGATGAATATGGTCCATAGAGCTCCTGGAGTTTCAAACTCCAATTCTTTTGAGAAACACTTCAAACCTATTTCCATGGCCCATTTCCTCTGAAAGTTTCTGATCCCATAGGTAAATTAATTTTACTCTTTCTTGTACTGTGCTACATCCCCAGCCCCTTTTTGTACTTACTTTTCCATTTTAAAACGGGCCTCACTAAGTTAACTAGGTTACTCAGGCTGGACTCAAGTTTACAATCCTCCCTCAGCCTCCCCAAGTGCTAGTGCTACCAGTTACGTGCCCCCATGCCCAGTCTAAGAACAGTCTTTAATTCGTAAAACCATATAATGAAGAAATTAGAATGCATTACCTATAAAAATTGCATGAAGAAGAAGGTGGAGGTAGCTTCCCCATTCTACCTTGACACTGTGGTCAATGATCAGATCCGTTAGGAGGATCACCGCTATGTTACACCTGTGACAAATATGAGTATTAGTAATGTTTCACTAAATCAGAGGCAGACTGGAAAAAATTCTGCACCAATCTGAAAGACTTTACTACTGTTTTTCATGGAAAAACACAACTTCGTAAGAAAAAAAAAAAAAAGAAAAACAAATGGAGTGAAGAAATTATTATTGGGACAGTGTTTGAACAAAATGTAAAGGCCTGGTGCTCCATAAGGTCAAAGGCCACATTGTCTCTGTCTTTCAACCTTAATAATTAGCACACTGCCTGCCACAATGTAGGTGTTCAATATACATCTGGAGCTTAAAACATCTTGAAAGAATCTAGTAATTGTTCTACTGTGATTTTATTCAGTAGAATTCAGTATATTTCAACTCAAAAATGTGAAAGTGCAGACCACAAAAAAACTAACACTTTTCAGATGTAGTAACTGGGTCCCAGAAAGGTCAAGTAACTATGCCAGACACCCAGAAAAGCAGCAGCAGATTACCTTCCCAATGCTAGCTTTGTTAGAATACTGAGATTTTTAGATTTCTTAAAATCTAAACATGTGAATCTAATTTGTTGCGAGTAGCTCAATAAAAAGATTCCTTTTACTCTGTTGTCAGACAGCACAAAGAAAGCTTAAAGTGTTCAGCAGCAACTCGGCTCATAGCAAGTAGGAATGACGCTCCAGTCCACCTGTGAAGAGGTAATCCAGGTGATGACGTTTCAGGCACGTAATCCACCAGTGGTGACCAGCAGCCTCCAGCTGGTGGGAAGGGCAGTGGCTCTCCTTGGTTATGCTCCATCACTTTCAGTCGCCAATTAGAATAAAGTGGCATTGAATCACCTATCAAGATAAAATGATCTCATTTTCTACACCATCTAATTTCTGCCAATATATGCAAACTCTAGTAAGACACCAACTATTTATAGCACTGGAAAGTGATTTAAAAAATAACTTCCCACCACTAGAACACATATTTGCTATGAAGACCTTGGTACAAATATCAAATTAAGCAAATCAGAAAGAAAGGAAGGCAGAAAGCTTCCATCTATCTTTCCTTATGATTCCTTATCTTTCCTTATGATTCCTTATCTTTCCTTATGATTCCCTATTCCCTTGTTTTAAGGCAGGATCTCGCTACTCAGTTCAGGCTGGGCTTGAACTCTGTAGCCCAGGCTGGCTTCCTTTATATCATAGCCAATTTTGTTTATTTCTTTTATTTTAGGGAAAGGTCTACAGGGTGTTCAGGGTCTCACTACTAGATGGGACTCCTAGAGCTGGGATTATAGGTGCATGCCGCCACACCCAGTCTCAATTGCCATTTCAGCGTGCCC